TCATCTTTTGAAATTATTCATGTGGTGTTATTTATCATAAAGTACATCTTGAGATGTTAACAGTCATGTGTATCTTATTTGCTACTTATGAAAAGGTACTACTTTGTTCACATTGAATATTTAGTGTATGCTAAGTGCTATTTTAAGGTTTTTATATGTACTAATGTAACCCTTCCTATCCTGTTACTACTGCTATTTTAGTACGAAATTGAGGCACAGGCTGGTTAAATAACTGCATCAAGCCCTGCAGGGTAGAACCACAGTTCTGACATCAGGATTAGACTACTAAGAGCATACTCCTAATTATTATTAATTAGAATCCCAGGAAATATTTGCTTTTGTCTTGTTTTTATTGGGGCAGATACTTTTATAGTATTTACTACATAGATGAGGCAGCTGTGTCCCAGAGATAAATTTGGTAATGGGAAGCAGATTATCTAAATTATAGAGCATTGCTCCCCTCCTTCTCTTAATAATTGCTATTTCTGCTCTGTTTTGTAAGTTATTAACTAATGAAACTGAACCTCATTGATGTAGAAGAACACCATGAAGGATGTCATTGGGCAGCTTTCTTCCATCTTGGCACTAGGGTAGATCAGCAGCTCTTTGGTTTTTCCATTGAATTTCAGATCCATTCAACTTGTCCAGCAACGGCAACTGCAGTGCAGTTACACACATAGGCCCAAATTATTATTTTTTGTGTGCTGAATTTACCGGAACATTTTATTCTTTGTTAAATAATAGAAATATAACTCGATCTTAAAACTAATGTATAAAAGGTGGCAATTGTCTACTTAGTCTTTTGTTTCCAAAGCATAGAACATGGATAAAAGAGCTTCTGGGAAGTTTATTTTTTGATAAATTTTCCTTCAAATAACATATTTAGTGTAAGAAATCATTGGGGAGGGTATTGTTGAATGTAACAGAACTTGTTACATTTGTCACAGATAACTGTTACCTTCAAATGAAACCAACAGTTATTTTCAGAATAGAACAATGAGCAGCATTTCTAATATGAAGAATTCTAAAATTAAGCAAAAGTAGCTATTGTAAAGACATAATTTCAGTTTACTATGTAATTCTTTTGCTGGGGGTGGGTGGGCATGATATACTTAAATTTTGGCACTAAGTAGAAAATAGAAGATAGAGATGAAATGAAGTATATGTATATGAAGTTTTGGGTGTTTTGGGAACTTTGGATTCATACTGTATGTTTTGCAAATAACCAAACTTTCTGTAGTTCTGTGAGAGTTGCAGTATGATTTCTAGGTTTATTTGGATTGGAATTGTCTAGCAATTATGTGATTTATATTTTAGGTCTGAACAGAATTAGTGAAAAGGTTTACTCTGAATTAAGCATTCTATCATTCTACTGTATGAAAGTATAACTAAAATTTGGGTATTTTTGCATATGCAATGATAGAACCAATTATTTTGAAATATGAAGAATGTTGAGTTTCAGAGAAATGTATATTAGTTTTTTTAGTTGTAGATGGACATAAGACTTTATTTTTATGTGCTGCCGAGGATTGCTATGCAAGCACTCTACCACTGAGAGCCTGAAATGTGTAAAGTTTTTTTTTTTAAACTGAAGTACAATGAGGTATCCATCAGTATGGGCTTTATGTCTCTAATTTTGTAATCTAATATCTGAAACTGGATTTACTTCAAAATGTAAAATTTTGGGGGTGCTTACCTGATAATCTCTTGTGTAAAAATATTTCAAAATCTGCATCTGTAGATTCCCTGCTATAGAAGCACACCTCCTTGGCATATCTGGTTCTTAAGAACAAACTGTTCCCTTTCATTGTCATATTCCAGTCTTGATTGATGCTCATGATCAGTTTAAAAATTTTGTTGATTATTTAAGTCAATCAACATGTATTGTTTTTAGAGTCTGTTGAAGAGCGGGCACTATTTTAGATACTAAGAATATAACAATTGACAACAAAAACAAAAATTTGCTCTTTAAGGATTTTTTTTCTGTCTCCGTAGTGGGGGGTACTGGGGATTGAACCCCTCAGGGGTTCTATTCCCCATCCCCCCTTTTTTGGTCACTCTTATTTTTTATGTGGTACTGAGGATCAAACTCAGGGCCTCACTTGTGCTAGGCGAGTGCTCTACTGCTGAGCCACAACCCCAGCCCCCCCGCCATCCCTTTTTAATCTTTGAGACAGGATCTTGCTAAGTTTCTCAGCTGGTATTGAATTTGCAATTTTCCTGCCTCAGCCTCCTGGCTCACTGGGTTATACAGACATGCCACATCATGCCTGGCTCTTGATTATTTCTTAAATGCTGTGATTTGAAGGAACATAAAGAAGTTTTGATACTTTTTAAGCAAGCACTTTAGACTCTTAAAATAATTGGTTTCATGGAACCATTTGTTAGAAAATAGCAGAATGTTTTCATTTTTATGATAACATTGATGATCAGATCTAAGATTAAGAGGAATGGGGTAGAAGTTAGTTTCATAAAAGTGTGGATTACATATCTTAGATTAAATGTATCTAAATTACACATGTAAAGAGATATACACATGGTTGTATAAAATTGGGCAAAGGCTGCTGTGCTTAAATTTGAGTGGTTCCTACTATGTATAAAATAGGGAGTGGTACAAATGTACTTGAGAGCTAGATTATAGCCCTTACATCCTTTTTAGAGGCAGGATAATATGCTACTAAAAAGTGTAAGCTTTGGATTCTAGCTATCTGGTGTGTTTGAAACAGACTGTCATTCGTTAGCTTCACGAGGATGGACAATGTTTCACTGTAGTATGAGGAAGCTAATGTCATCCACATTAGGTTGGCAGGACTGGATGAAGATAAGGATAAGTATTGTTGCGGATTTTCACTGCAGACAAAATAATAGTAGCAGTTCTATTAGCACATTAGACACAGGATAGTTGGTGCCGGTCGTTGAAAGTGCAGCAAAGTACTCACCAGGTCTACCTTTCACAGTTGGTCTCTGAGCAGAACTTGATTTTAGTGTATTTTTGTAAATATAGTTATTTTATCCATTTTTGTTCAGTGAAGATAGTGAAAGTTTTTTCTAGATTCCAAATTTCAAATAAATATTATTTTCCTGAGGGTCCCCTACTATTACTAATCATTTTAGTAATAATAGATGTTGTATCTCATATGTTCTTTATATAGAAAATACAAATGTCAGTGTGTGATAGTTTTGTGAAATTCCTTTAGAAAACATTTTGTTAGCTTAAGGAACTGTGTCTGCTTTAATTAGAAAAGGCATAATAGCTTGCTAGGTTAATTTCCCCCCTCACTCTCAATTCATTGCTCTAACATTATGTTGGAAGACTGAGCATTGTCGTCATCATTATGTTCAAACGTGACCCTTTTTATTTTTCATTTTAGTGGTTTGTGATAAAGTACTAATTATTGATGACATGAAAGTAAAAATTTTTTATGTAGTGGCTGAAATTGTATCATTAGGTTATTCATCTAAATCATCTGATTCAGAAATATGAACTCAAGCACTTAGAGTATGTCTGGTACATATTTGCTAGAAAGCATGGCCATGCTGAAAAGCTGTGTTTTTATTACACCATATAATAAACTTCTTACATGTCTACTGAGGAGCTGGACTTTAGATAATTTGCTCCAGTAATAAATAAGAGTGATGCTATTAACGAGTGCTCACTGCACCTTCCCAGACTCATCCACTTCATAACTCTCCAGTTATTTCCTATTACTTTTCACTTGAAGATCAATTTCTTCATGAACATAATTTTCAGATGTTTATGAAGTGTTTCTTGTGCAAAGCTTATGCCATCACTTAATAGGAGAAAGTGCAATTCTTTTTCTGAGGCTATGATAAATTTTAGGAAAATGCCACTATTGTTACTCAAACAAGAGAAAATGTTTCATTGAGCTGTGAAGGTAAGGTAGTTGAAGTTTGTTTTTTAAAAGTTCTGTCTTTCCTCAGAAGAATTCAGTAGTTTTTACTGATTTGTGGGTGTTAAAAGTAAAAGGGACCTTAGCAATAATGGTGAAAACGCCTTTCTTTGGAAACTCTTGTGCTAAAGACTTGTTGAAGGATAATTTTTTTTTCCCCGATTTGTATCAAATTGCTCCACTACCCTACTGTTTATTTCCCATTTCCTTTTAAATTAAATTTGTCATCCCAAACGGTCAGAATTTCTTTGTCTCTTAGATTTTCTTTTATGTCATCTTCTAGTGATGTTTTTCAACCTGCAGAATAACTTCTCCACTCTTGCTGCTGCCTGTCAGTGCTACTCAGTATCATAGCCAGTAACCGTGTGTGGCTACTTAAGTTTAAATGAGTTAAAATTAAATAGAATTACTTAATTCTGTTTTTTAGTATCTGAAGCTGTATTTCAAGTGCTTAATAGATATACTGTGTTGGATGACACACAGACCGTTTCTATGATCACTGGGAGTTTAGTTGGGATAGCACTGATCTATATTGCAGGCTTTTGGGGTAGGGAACCTTTTATGTTGATGTGAAGAGTATGCAGTACAAGCTCTTCAAGAATTTTAGAATGTATGAATGGACATGTATCTATACCATTCTTTTAATTATTTGCCATTTTTTTGTTCATAATTTTTCCTTTTCTTTTTGAAACTTAAAATCAAAGAGGAAGCAGTAGTATGGTATTTCCCACATATATATTGCATACAATGTGTATCATATGCCACTTAAAATACTATAAATGGGGGTCTGGGGATGTGGCTTAAGCGGTAGCGCGCTTGCCTGGCATGCGTGCGGCCCGGGTTCAATCCTCAGCACCACATACAAAGATATTGTGTCTGCCGAAAACTAGAAAATAAATTAGAATTTTTTAACTCTAAAAAAAAAAAAAAAAAATACTATAAATGGAAATCTTGATGGTTGTTTACAGAGACACTTTTTGGTTTTGTATTTCTTGAGAAGCTAGTCATATTCCTTATGAAGCTAGATGGTGTGTATTTTAAATACTGTGTGTATATGTGCTTTCTTATTTACTTATTTATTTTTAAAAGTTTCAGTGGTGACTCCTTAATGATTGTTCCTTGGCATGAACATAAACACCGAGCTAAAGACTGGTGCGAAGAATTGGAGTGCAGGTTAGTATGAGCCCACACCAGGCATCTGCATTTCTTTGTGGGATGGGTGAATAGATGGCCCTGTGAAAAAGTGATGTATGATCACTTCTTGATGGTGCTCCCTGATCTGGAGCATTTGAGTAAAGTTAAAGGGAAAAACAAAACACAACAAACTGTTGATTTGGTTATATTGAAACTTTTCAATGAGAAGATATTAAATGTTACAAACGGATTGTGAAATGCTTTTATTACAGCTCTTCATTTTAGCTGTTCTTTTCTCAGGTAAATATTTTTTCTCAGTTAAAGTGTCTGTATATATATATATACACACACATATACATACATATACCTTTGTTTTTCATTTAGTTTCAATTTTCATTTTTATAAGATTGATCTTGGGGGGGAAAAACCTCAGGATGTGGAGATATAAGTATTGCAGAAGGGGATGGGAGATATAATATGGGAGTGAAAGTCCGTATGAGAAACATTAGAATTCCTTTATTCCCCACTCCCCAAAATTGGGCAAATAGTTCTTCATTGTCTCTCCTTCCATATTTTCCGTACATGAGACCAGAGGACCTCTAGTTAGCTGGAAAGCCTCCAGATTCCTGGATACTAGGTACAGTATAGGTGGGAATGAAGATATGGGTTTCAAAATCCAGGAATTTATATATCTCCTGAATGCTGGAACTCTAAGTTTCCTTCCTACTCCCTCCTCTCAGATGCAGGAATAATCCCCAAGAAGTTTGGAGAATTCCTTTCTAGAGAAGTGGAGTAGCCTCTGGAATAGGGCTCTAAATACTAAGGCATTGTCCCCAAAGGTTAGGGCACTATAAGGATATAGCAAATAAGCAGTTCTTGCCACACTCACAGAGCTTCCTGGACATCTAAGGATAGAGTCAGGCAGGTACAAAAAATTAACTGGTGAGGAAAACACACAGAAAGTAGAACTGAAAGAAATGCACCATGTTGACAGAAGGAAACTTCAAAAATTATAATATTCCCTGGGAGATAAGATTATATTTATTAGATAAATAGTTGTATAAAATGGGAACAAAGGCTTAAAGAGAACTTGGGACATTAAACATATGGTTGTTGGTATACAAAATTTAAATAATTGGAAAATTAAATCCAGGAGATTTTGTAGATATTAGAATGAAAATACAGAGCTAGAATATAAGAGAAGGATGCATTAAAAACAAACCTCTGTTAAAGTTACAGGCTTTTAAAAACACATAGATAATAAAGTAGATAAAATTATAAGAAATAATTCAGTTCTAAGAGTTGAAGGTTGTGAATATTCAGATTGAAATGCTTATTACATTGAAGCACAGCATTATAACCTTCAAGAATATCAGGGATACATTGTTCTAAAGAGACTACATGGAAGGAATTGGGGCTCAGAAGGACCTCAAACATCCAGAAAAATACAAGAAGCTTTAAGACAATTGGAATCCTTTTGAAACTTTTGAAGAATGTATCTTATATAGATTTCAATATCCAGTTAACTGCTTTCATATTTGATGATTTATGTATAGTTCATGAAATTTGTCACTCATATACCTTGTTTTAGGAAGCCATTCTAAGGTTTCCTTTATTAAAATAGGGAGTGAAATGAGAAGCAAACGCCACTGGATTCCAAACTGGACTTTAATATATGCAAAAGCAAGGCCCTGGGTGACATTGTGCCCAGTTGGGGGTGAAAGTAGGGGATAAGGGGTGGCTTCAAGAATCAGGTCTTAGGGGGATGATATGTTGTAATGTAATTGAAATATCACTGCAAAATATTTAAAAAAAATTTATAGGTGGACAAACTATCTTCATGTTGTGCTGAGGATTGAACTCGGTGCCTTACACTTGCTAGGCAAGCGCTCTACTACTGAGCCGCAACCCCAGCCCTCATTGCAAAATATTTTATATTTTAGTATTTGATCTTTTAGAAATTGGAAAAAAAAAAAGTAGCAGTGACTACATACAAGCAATCAAGAGTGGAGAGAGTACAGTGGGTGTTAAGTTCAGGAAAAAAACAGAACATCAGTTTCTTGTGTATTCATGCCCCCACCCAAGAATTTATTATCAGTGGAATTTTTTGGATAAATGGGAACATTTTATTTATTGACCATATTTAACTAGAATTCTTTATTTACTAATTGTAATGAAAAATTGAAAGGTAGAGAAATTTAAAATGTGGAAGGTTGGTGTCCATGGTGAGGAAAGTGAGATGATGGTACTGCACAAATTCTCTCCAATTAAATAAGACTTTCCCCTCCCCTACCCAGCCTCCCAGCTCCTCTGAGATGATGGTTTTTATGGAGCAGCACTGGAAGCCCAGGACTGGACCCATTCATTGGGTTCTTCTCAGTTTTCCTTAGCCTGTATCTTGTGATTGTTCTAACAAGTAGATGCCAAGAATGAAGGTATTTCTTCTTAGACCAACCACAGCACTTAAGTGGAAGAAACTCCAGAAACTATAAACATGTGAAGCCATGAAAAGATGATTTGGAAGATGATACAGATCTTGGGTAGTACAGGTCATTTGTTCTGTTTATTAGCATCTGTCTTTGGTTAGGTCCAGGGATTCTGAAGGAAGAAAAGGACAGTGTAGTCCCTGTCTTCAAGAAGGTGTGCCCCAGGTGGAAGTGCAGAGTACTATGAAAGACATGGTGGGGCATTGTGGGCATGCAAGGGGAAGCCTTAACCTTGGTGGAGGTCAGAGAGAATCCCTGTGGGGACTTGAAGAATTTGGAGAATAAGCAGGAATTAGCTCAGTGGAGATATGTTTGGCAGTGAGGAGGGAGTGCTGAAAGGCTAAAGGCAAGGCCCTCTTCAAGAACTGAAAATAAGAGATGTTCTTACCTTTTATCAGATTTCTGTTGTAAAAAAAACTATTACCTGAGGGTGTCACAGATTTAGTTTTCAGTTTTGTTGCATTTGAAATGCCAGAAAAATATTTAGAAGCAAGCAGCAGGAAGATCTTAAAGCTTCTAAGTGACGTCTGGGTTACAGGTAAAATACGGTAGTTGAATCGTCTGTGGTCATTTATATTTGTAGAGTTGCAGGGAGACCTGGAGAGAGTACAGAGTAAGAATAGCATTGGGTTAAGCATTTGGAAGTGCTAATATTTAATGTTGGGTAAAGAGGATATTCTAGCAAAGGTGACCAAAAAGGAGCAGCCGAAAAGATGAAAGGAATTCTGATGGTATGGCTGCTGGAATGAAAGGGAAGCTGATTCCTGAAGGAGAGAGCAGTTAAATCCTCTCAGATGGTGTTGAGAGGGAAATGGGTAAGGACTGAAAAAAAGCATCAAAGGAACTCTGAGTTGCTGGTGGCTATTTTTCCCTGCTGAAAAGGGGCAGATTTAAAAAAACTGCTTGGAAGAGTGATGTGGCTTTGTGTGGGGGAAAAATCCCTGGAAGAATACTAATGAAAATAGGAGGCTAGTTAAGTAAAGGATCATTCCACACATGAGACTTAGTGTGGTGCCAGTTACAAGCACAGTGGCTTATCTTGGGTATGTGCCTAAGATGCCCAGGTACTTAGGTGCTTTGTGTCTAATCATGTGGCACACCTGATGGAAACCCCCCCCCCCCCAAAATAGTAACCATAAATAAACCAAATAACTATTTGGTTTATGCTAGGCAGTGTTGACTATTTACTTCGATTACTTTGAATTTTTACAACATTTTGCAGTAGTATTAGACCCACATTTTAGAATCAAAGGAATCCTAAGGTAGTTTTAGCTAAGTAACTTGCCCAGGGTTTCACAGCTTTCAGTGAGGAATTGTGTTGCATGTTCTGTAGCACACTTATAAGCTCATTTCCTTAATTTTTTTCTGGATTATATTATTTGATATTTTATTTTCCAGGTATTGGGGAAAAATATTTTCTCCAGTTTGTTAGTAATAGTGTGCTTACAATAAAGAAGTACCTTTAAAAATGAGAAGACAGATATCAGTGATATGTTCTACGTACAAATGTTGATATAGCTCTGAGAAATCTTAAGGATTCCTCAGGAAGTTTTAATGTTATCTATAGAAGTATAGTAGGAAAAGAGAAAAGAGGTGGCAACATTGACCAAAATTATGGAACAGTTCTCAATAGTAATTTTGTCAGATGGCTTGTTGACTATTTGGAACAGGAGGAAAAAACCTCCCAACTTCTGGTCTGTTTTGCGCATTGCTGAGCAGAATGCCATACACAGATTTAGCAAAACACTTTAATATTATGCTGTGCTTCACCTATTTTGTTTGATTATTTTGATGTGTAAACTTTAAATGATGTGTCCTATAAGGACAGATGGTGCCAATATAAGCTCACTTCCTTATAATCACAATAACCAACCACATGTGTTACCACCTCACTTTACATGAATGAATGTCCCTAAAGGAACACGGTGTTTTCCTGGTCCATCTGGGGAGTCTAGTTACTTTTGTCTTGTCCCTTAACCATGGAGGGCAATTGTCTTTGATCATCCTCATAAAAACTCCTTATAATTTGTAGTCCTCATGATGTTATACCTGTATGTGTTCCTTTAAGGTATTGTTCATTTTTCACTATTGGTCATTTGGTGGGGAATGTTATGGAGTAGTCCTGTACTGGGCACACACCAGTGCATTGCTACCATGCCAGGGCCTAGTAGAGGTATATTCCCAACCTAAATGAGGCGTTATTTTATGTTTATGAAAACAAGATTTTGTAATTTCAACTCAAATTGAAGTAATCTGGGGGAAATTTGCTAACCCAGGCCTGGCTGGCCAGCACAAGTGATTTTGATTTAACCAGTTTACTTTCCAGGGTGATTTTATTAATACTTACGTGATTTGTGGCACAATTGTTTTATGATTTTTAAAATTGGGAAAAACTGTAGGAAAATAAATTCTCCCAAAGTGTCTCTTCCTGTAAGTATTCAAATACATAAAACATATAATGACACACACATAATCCCTTTGTCACCTATTTCCCTCTTTCGCTCATAAAATTATATATTTTTCTAGCATTCCAATGAGTTGTTAATTGTTCATTTTGTGATTTGCAGAGTGGTTGTTGAGCCGAGTCTCCAAGATGAAAGTGAATTTTTGTATGCCGCACAGCCTGAGTTACTGAGGTTCAGGACGGCCCAGCTTACAGTTGAGAAGGCTATGGACTGGTATCAGAGCAGAGCAGAAGAGATAGAACACCATGCCGGGCAGGTGAGGGGAGGACTGCTGCTGCCCAGTAATACTGCAGTGTTGCTGGGTCCTTAGGGCTCAGCGTATGCAATGGATGTGGATAGCAGGGTCAGGAATCATGGAGGTCATTTGCAAGGGATGGAATGAGTGATTCTTACTACTTTTGTTCATTTATTCTTTGCCTCAAAAGTTTTTGTGGCTTTTATTTTGGATTCTTACAGAGCAAATATGTACAAGAAAAGTTCTAAATCTTTCATAATATAAGCTGCGAAACATTCTGCTCCTGTTTGTCTACGTATTAATTTACTGACGTTAATATTAATGTCAGTAAATATTAATATTAATATTTTTTCTACATAGAGTGCTTGACCAGTCCCATTTTACAGTGAGGTAATATGGTTGATTGTGATCTTGCCTTTCAGGAACCCTGTTCAAAGCTGTTTATACTATTTTCCTTAAAACTATACTCAATTTCTCTTAGGCTTTTGGACCTTTACTGAGATCCATAACTACATCAGAGAGGAGGCATGATTCAGAGAGATGAGGATTATACTGAGCTTAAGTTGCTGAATATGAATATTGACTCTTCCACTAACAGACTTTGTGATTTTGTACCTTTCTTGTACCACCTCAATTTTCTCTTGGCATTAGTTCTAGTCAGAGTTCATGAGAACAAAGAAATATACTTGAGAACATTGAAAACTCTGTCAATTGGCTGAACTTGGTAGTGTAGTATCTGTAATCAGTTATTTTGGAAGCTGAGGCTGGAAGATTGTGAAACACTGCTTCAGAATTACAAAAAGGGGGCTGCGGATGTAGCTCAGTGGTAGACTGCCTCTGGGTTCAATCTCCAGTACTTCAAAGGAACACTACCACTTGTGCCCCTCCCCTCACCCTAGTTCTGCTAATAATTGAGTGCTCTGTCAATGTAAGCCATAGTTGATTTCATCTTAAGAGAGCAGATTGGTAATTCAGAACAAAGAATGGTAAAAGGCACTTTAAAAGTCTCATTCAGGGTTTGGTCAGTAGATGACATTTCCTTTCTCCCCACATCCTGGCTTTGGACCTCCTCTCCCACCATCAGTCTTTAGTTTGACAGAAAGGTTGATTCTAGAGGTTCTGGCGAGCAATAGCACGTGGGAAGAAGATGTAGATCCTTGTTTACATTTCTACTTTGTGTATCTGAGAAGGTCCAGTTTTCCACATGGTAGCCTTCTTGAATTCCTGCTTAATCTATTTTAGCTTTATAGAAAACTAGTGTGCTACTGTGGAGTTCTACACACCCTTACTCCTCCCACCAAATTTTCCTTATTGCTAACACCTTGCATTTTAGTGGTACATTTGTTACAATTGATAACCCATTCTGTAGTGAATGGATGAACTATGATAGTTCCAGAGAATGGAATATTACTAAACACTAAAAATGAGTTCTCAAACCATGAAAGACAGAGGAACCTTAAATGTATATTACTAAATTAAAGAAGCCAATCTGAAATGGCTACCTAGAATATAATTCCACTGTGTTGCGTTCTGTAAAATGTTGAATTATAGAAACAACAAAAAGATAAGCGGTTGCCACTGGTTAGAGGAGTAGGCAGAGCACAGAATTTTTAGGGCAGTGAAAGTACTCTTAATGATACTATAAAGGTAGATAAATGTCATTATACAATTGTCCAAATCCATAGAATGTACAACACAAAATGTGAATCTAATGTTATCTGTGGCCTTAGATGGGATGAGGCATGTTGATAGTGGGGACGGTGTGTGTATAGGAAGTGAGGTGGGGCAGCAGGTATATTGGAACTGCAAAGAAGTTGTCTCAAAACTAGAAGGGAAAGGTGTTTTCCCCCATAGCAATCCAGCTTTGGAGACAATCTACTAGTGACATGTGCTTCTTCCCCCCAAAACAACAATGAAGTGTTCTGTGTGCCAACAACATAGCTTAAAAAAAAAAGTAAAACAAAATTCTGCATTTTTATAAAACTTGATTAAAAAAAAAAGGCATTTCAACATGTACAGTCCCCAGAAGGCCACAGTTCCCAAAAATGCACACACTTACCTTGGCGTCTCCAGCTCCTTTCGCTCTCTGTGCCTGGTCTGTTTTGGCATCTCCATTTTCTGCAGGGTTATTCCCGTCCTTGCTGGTCTCAGCTTCTCCCTTCTCTCTTCCTCCTTTTGAGGGTCCTTTTTAGGCTTAGGCCCTGGCTTTGGAGGAGCAGGTTTAGCAGACAACTTGCAGATCTTGGCTTTATCTCCTTTAGCATCCCCTGCAGCCTTTCTCTTGGGCAGGATGGTGACGGCAGCGGATGTAGGCGCTAGACGCGTGGATGTAGCTGTGTGCAGCTGTGGTCCACCCAGGGTCGTTCTTACCGCCTCTTCTTCACTCTGCTCCTGTCCTTGTCTTTAATTTCTCCTCCTTCAATGGGTCTTACTACCCCTACCCACTTTTAGGGCAGAAAGTTCAAATCCAACCTCTTTTATAACTAGAAAAATAAGTTAAATCCATATTCTTCCTGGCTTCTTGTTTTAGCTTCTTGTTTCCATCACATCTCAGCCTAGAAAGTCACTCTGCTCTTCATAATCACTTTCTCAATTTTTGCTTTCTTCTCTTTCCAGTCTGAATCCTTCTACAATACCAACTCTTAATATCCAGTTCCCTCTGTTTCTCATTGAACATCTTGTCCTTTGACACCATTTACTACTTTCCTGAAATCTCTTCTTAGGTGTATGTGACAATATTCCACTGTTTTCTTGTGCTCGTCTTAGCAATTTGTCTGCTCCTGTGGCTCACGTTCTTTGGCTTGTCCATTATCACTATTTCTCAGATTGCTTCTCTTGTCACTAATTCTTGTCTATAAGTGTGGCCCATTCAGATCTTCTCACCTCACACCACTCTGATTTATGTGCTGACAGTTCCCAAGTAGAATCTCCAGCCATGTACATTTACTTCAGCTGCAGGTTTGGTTTACTTGTTTTTGGATCTGTGTTGGGCCTCTGCACTGAGATAATCCACAAGCTCCTGAGCAGCAACACATTCAGTTCAAGGTTCTCAGTTTTGATGATCCCTTGTGCCCACCCTTTGACTTAAAGGAAAAACCCAAGCCATCATTGTTGACTCCTCTTCCTTACTCATGCTTCTCATCTGGTCTGACCAAACTTCATAGTTTGTTTCCTAATATTGTTTTTCTCCTCTTGAATGACTTCAATTACACTGTCATGGTTTGGCTCCTTGTTATTTTTTTGCCCAGTACATAGAAAGTGTTCAACTAATACTTATCCCACATGAATGAGTGAAGTAGCTAGTGAATGGGTGTGTGAATCAGGATATCTGTCAGGATTCCTCCCATGCTGGCAGCTGCAGTTCTCATGACTAGTCTCCCTGTTTTCAGTCCAGGCAATTTCAGTTCATCATCCTGATTAATTCGTCATTCAGTAAATACTATTCCAAAGTGTAAATCTGTTTGACAGGCCTCAGTGGAAAACCTTGGGTCATATTTTGTTTCAGGATAAACTGCAGATTCCTTAGTGTCACACTATACTCTGATGTGGCACCTTCCTCTTTAGGACTCCAGCCCTCCTGCCCTTCACGTCAAGCCATTCTGTCTGGTGGAGCTAGATGACAGTGCGCTCTGCCTCCCTGCCTCCCGTGCTACTCTCCCTCCCTCTTGTGCTTCACCTCACTAAAACCCATTGGTTCTGCAGCGCCCATTTACAAGTTCCTCATCTGGGAAGCTGCACACCCTCAGGATGGGCTCAGTGCTCTTTGGATCCCAGTCAGTCACAGCACTTGCCTCACTCCTTCCAGCATTGACGGACTGGTTGTTTTTCCTTCCTAGACTGAGGAACCATTGAAGGTAGAGGCCTCGACTTACTCAGCTTTGTGTTCTTAGTTCTTCTAATGATGTTAACTCCCAGTAAGCCCTCAAAAAATAATGTAGGAAGCAGAAACTCAGGGTAGTGTGAAAGATCATGGGCATAGGCCATGACAGATGTTTTCCCATGAGTCAGAGAATGTTAATCCATAAATTTTATCAAGGAATGGGTCAAATGGCATTCTGTTGAGCCTCTAAAGGAAAATCATTCCTTGCTTTTTATCTGATGAAGCTTAAGTGAATTGAGTCAAATGTTTGTACCAGAGTTAAACAGCATGTATTTATTGAATGCCTTCTGTATGGGAGGCACTGTGGAAGGAAAGTGTCTGAACTGGAAGCTGTGGGGATAGTTGCTCTTCTTGGAAACGGAGCTGTGTAGTAAAGTAAGAGTAATTTGGCTTTCTTACTATCTGTTAATTTTTTCCCTCTCCTTGTTAATACGTTGTGAGAAATTTAAGATGGTTATCTTTCCTTTAATATCTTTAAAAAATATTTTTAGATGAACATGAGTGCTTTATTTTTTATGTGGTACTGGGAAACGAACCCAGTGCCTCACAATGCTAGGCAGACACTCTACCACTGAGCCACAACCCCCGCCCCTCCCCACTCCTTTAATATCTTTATCCTCAGTATTTCTTGCTGGTTGAGTCTTTTAAGAACTGTTTTTATGGTAAAAAATGTTTTTAATGGAATTTTAAAAAATGGTCATAAGAATTAGATTCTGTACTAAGTTTTTACTTTAGAATGTCTAAGCTTGGGAACTTACAGTTGTTCTCAATTTTAGGTTGACTGTGCATTGTCACTTATTCGACTTGGAATGGAGCGGCATATTCCTGGTTTGCTAGTTCTGTGTGATAATTTGGTTACTCTGGAAACACTGGTTTATGAAGCTGGGTGTGACTTAACCCTAACCTTGAAAGAACTCCAGCAAATGAAAGACATTGAAAAACTAAGATTACTGATGAATGGCGTAAGTTTTATTTTAACATTTTTTTAAGCATTCTCTGTACTTTGACTAATATAAATCTTGAACCAAAAATGAAATGTTCTTCAAACTTGAAAACTGAGTACATAAAGGTTTCCTGATCTTTTTTTCTCCCAAAATCAAACGTCATGGGTATGTTACTGAAGTGATGTAAAGCTGTGTTGACTGTTATGCCTGGCTTGCCTTTTCTCTTTCTCCATTCCTCTATCATCTGTCCCCTCTTTTCCATCCTCCTTTTTTCACTCCGACCCCCCCCCCTTTTTTTTTTGCTTTCTTTTCCCTTTAAGCAACCCAGTGAAACTTGGTTTGTTTTGTACGTGGGACTCCCCTTATGAGACTTAGGTAGATCTTTTGGGGTAATTAAAAAAAGTGATCGCATAATTTTAGGGATCATGAGTAAAATTATCAGTGTCATTTGAAGTTTTGTGAAGGTGGATATAAAGGAGCAAAATGAAAAGAGGAAAGGAATGGAGGGATTCTGGACTTTTCTAGATGTAGCTCCTTTCCAAACCTCTTTGCTCTTCTCCCTCCTTCTGTTCTTGTGCCTTTTCCTCTTGGTCTAAAGTCTCCTCTTCTGCCTGTTCACATATTCTTCCTCTTCCCTCTTCTGGGTATCCTCTTTGCTCTGGAGGACCTCATGACTATGTAGTGGCATGAGCAGATGGGCCACAGTGGTATTGTTGCTGTACCCCCACTATTCCCAGGTAGAAGGTGACTCATTCTTTGATGCCTGTTGGTACATATGTAAGTGGTGACCTGCAGTGTCTGTTTTAGAAAGTATGCACAGCCTCTGTTTAACATCATCTGACTACTGGTAAACTTTAGGACTCATGTGGGATAATGCACTATTTAATGCTAATTTTTTTTAATGTTCTTTCAGTGTTCTGAGGACAAATATGTGACAAGTGCCTACCAATGGATGGTTCCGTTTCTCCATCGTTGTGAGAAACAGTCTCCTGGTGTAGCTAATGAGCTACTAAAAGAATATTTAGTAACTTTAGCTAAAGGGGATTTAAAATTTCCCCTGAAGATATTTCAGCATTCCAAACCAGATGTAAGTAGAAACTCTAACTTAAAATTCCCTGCATTTTTTAAATTTATAGAAATAGGTTTTTAAAAATAAATTTCTATAAAAGACTTTGCAGATAATTCCTTTTATACAGAAATGGCTGCCTTTCTTTAAAAGTGTTTCAGTAGTGTAGTGTGAAAATTTTTTCCAAAAGTTCAGAAAATTTTTTATTTTTATTTGTTTTAAAGTTTGTGAACTATCTGCTATATGTTGGAAACTGTTAATGCCAAGAAGATGAATCGTTGATAGGAATTCAATACCTATCATGTCTCAAGTGTTAAAATATTTAATTAATAATCCTATGAAATAGATACTTTTACTATCTTAATATAGAGGAAAGGAAAGTTGTGATCTAAAGTGATTAGGTACTAGCCCAGGGTTACACAGTAGGTAGAAGAACTTGCATTCAAATACAGTATTGTAATGCCACAACTGTTCTTAACTTTTACATTGTATGATACCACTAATAGGAGATGGTTTCTGCCCTTGAGTACATTCAAATAGTTTATGAAAATATTTATGCTCTTATAAGGTATCTTGTAATTATTCTTAACTACTGTTATATCTACTTAAAGAGTACTGTATAACTTTGAATTTCTAAAGGGTTCACATTGACTGATGGTAAAGTCATTTTATTAAGTACAGCATACCTTTGCATTTGACAGTGTCTTAATTTAGCCACAGATCAAATATGCTATTTCTAGTGATAGTGCCTCCTTTTCTGTTGAGGGGCACTCAAGCAAGATGGCATGGTCACTTGAGTCCTGACTTTGTAGTAATTTTCAAAACATTATATTTGGGTTCAAGCAGAAAGCATTTCAGACTTCTTCAAATTTAAAATTCGCATTGAGACTATTTTCTTGCCCTATGCTTTGTTCGTAAGTCCACTAAGATTTATGGTCATAGAGCAGTATAATGAAAATTTAAAGGAAAAAAATGCTACATTGTACGCTTTTGGTTTCTAAAAGGTCTGTCAGAAATGTCTGTTCATTGGTTACTTAAAATTTTCCATTTTTTCATAAGCAGTCTGCACTTAGTATTCTGGTTTTAAATGTGCAGTGGTTTACTGTGAGCTGAGGTGGGTTGCTTATGGCAGCAGAATACCATGTGAGAAGCAGGATAGATTGAATATGAATGTTTTATGAGGAAGAAAGAAGCAACTTTAAATTCTTTCCAGTAATCTTATTTGTGATACTTCTTCCTCACAGAATCTTGTAAATCATTTGTTTGTAGTCAGCTTTTTGTTTCTACTCGGCAATTTAGCATGAACCTTTTGAATAAACCATACAGTCATTTGCCTTTGTTGAAACATGTGAACATCAAAGCAGAGAAGCTTCAGGGCCTGTGCTTCCAGCCTGCCTCTCCAGCCTTGTTTCTCTCCAGGAGAATGAGACCGTTCACAGTGAACTTCTCGACTCTTCACCCTGTCAGGCTCACTCTTGGCTTTCTGTATTTTATGTCATATTTCCTTTGTTTAGAATGGTGATTCCCCGTTTTCATTTACTTCTCAAATAACTGCCTATCCTTCAAGTCCTGCTCTTCTAGATTCTCTCTACTGTGAAATCTTCCTCGACTTCTCTATGCTCTGACAGGTCTTTGTACTTGCTTCTATTATAGCCCTTATCATACTGTGTTGGGATTATTTGTTCATGTTTGTCTTTCTTTCCTTTATTCCTTCTCTATATGTCATTCATCTCTTTATTACCAGGAAATAGCATGCTGCCTATAGTGAACAAGAGCTCCGTTCACTTTGGCAGAATAAATGTAGGAATGAAGGATTGAAACTTGGTTTCATTGGGGGTGCTTTAGATCACTTGTTTATATTTATTTACTTGACTAAGATTGTACTGGGAGTATTGTTATTTCACTTAATTTTTTATGAAAAGAAGGTACCTTAGATCTGCCATGAATGATGCACAGAGTATTTTAATAATTTAACAGCAATGGCTTCTGTATCAGACAGCTTAGATCAAGTATGCTGCATGAACAAATGATCTCTGTGTTAATACTGTGCAACAGCAAATATGATTTTTCTCACAAGTGTCACATCTGCTACAGTTGGGCTTCTGCTGTGTTCCATGTGTTATTTACTTGGCAAATGAGGCAGAAAAATTATTTTCTATCCTGTGGCCCAGGAAAACAATAGTAGACTCCCAGTGGCTTTTAAAACTATAGCTAAAAAAAGGGGCTCAAGTTGCTTCCTCACTTTCTCCTGGCAGAAGAAAGTCTGATGGCCAAGCCTGACACTAAAGGTCAGAAGAGCAATTCTTTCATGGGAAGAGGGAAGCTAATACTTAAGAGCCAAGGTCACAGTGATAACGAAGGTCTTGAAACTCCTCTGCACCTGCCTGACGAGGTCCTTCTAAATCACCTCGTGTACCTCAAAGTTTATTCTACTTTATAACTCCTAAAACACTCTTCTGATTGTAAGCCATTGCTCTGTGACTGAATCTGTCATTGGAAAGTGAAACTTGAGGGGGGCAGGTCTGGGCATTAATGTCATGGGGACACAATCTCCTGCCTTCTCAGTGTTTTCTGTCTTCCAAACTGGTGACTTTTGAATGTGTCTGTACATCAGAACCATGTACACATTAAAAAAGTTTCTATGCCTTTTTCAGATACAATGGAGTAGAATTTGGGGGGGGGGGTGTCTTGGGTATACTTTTAGTAATTTATCCAGTGATTTTGATGGAAAGCCAGGGCTGGGAACCACTGTTTCAAATGTCCTTTCTTTTAACCAATGGGAATTTACTTCTTAGCTTTGTTAAAGTAACATCTTTTAAGTTTGTTTCTAATTACATAATTCAGTGGGCAATTTTAGTTTTAAAATTATATTTTCTAATTTAATATTTACTGTAGAATAAAACATAAAGATAGAAATAATGTTGTTTCTGACAGCATCATTGACCAAATGTTCTGAAAATTCTTTTACTCTAAAGTATTTAAAATTAGTCATTAAATTATTAAAAATATGTTTACCTGTGGTGCTGAGCTTCAGAGAAAGTAAGGGGAATTCCTGCTGGCCAAAAGTGAAGCAAAAGGAAGTCAGAGAAACTCAGGAGAAGTTAGTGGTTGCGTGGGTGGGGGTGTGGTTTTCTGTTCTACTCTTAACTGCGGCATTGTCAGTGGAAGTGCAGAATAGAAAGCTTCCTACCCATTGGCACGTGAAGACCGCCAAGAGGCGTGACTGTGCTGGCATGTACTTTTCATTAGAGGGGTGGGGATGGGCAGCCCTCTAACAGAGCAGTGTTCAGTCAAATCTGTTGTTATCTGTGATAAAACTGGACCTGGTTCTCTTGGTGATAGCAAAAGCAAAACTTCTTTGAGGGGCTCACATTTGAACAGATGTGTAAGAATGTTACAGATAAATCTTGAAGATGAGTTTACAATTCAGTTTTACAAAACCCAAGGAAAATATCTATAGGCAAGATTGAGTGGGCAGAACCTTGCTCTCCTTCCACTCTGATAATAGATGATCAGATATAGGCTATGAAATACATATTTTCAATCCTTAAGATATGAGGAAAGAAACAAAGACATGAGAAGGAATGGAGAAACTGAAAAAAATGAGCTGAGATTTGAAAATAAGCCATTTAGAACTTATAGAATTGAAATTATAATAAAAGCAAAAATTTAAATGGAGGAATTCAAAGGAATTGAAGACAACTTAAGAAAGAATTGAAATTTGGAACACAATTTAAGAAATTATCTGCAATGTAGAACATAAAGTGAAAAGACATGGAGAATAGGCAGGGCAGGTCTGATGTAGGACTAGCAAGAATTCTAGGAAGAGTCTGATGGTCTGTCCATGTCCTAGTAGAATGTTGTTTTAATTACAGAGAATTGGGACTGTTTATTTATTTTTGGTACCTGGGATTGAACTCGGGGGCACTCAGCAACTGAGCCATACCCTCAGCCCTATTTTGTATCTTATTTAGAAACACGGTCTCACTGAGTTGCTTAGTGCCACGCTTTTGCTGAGTCTGGCTTTGAACGCGAGATCTTTCTGCCTCAGCCTCCTGAGCCAATGGGAGTACAGGCATGTGCCTCAGTGCCTGGCTGGAGTATGGTCTAATGTCTGAGGATAGTATTCCTTTGTAGTTTTTTTTCCCCAACTAATTTTTAAGTTATTCTTGGATATTTTTTTTCCATTTAAACTTTGGTATCAGCTTGTCTAATTTCCTGACAGCTTATTTGTATTTCCTTGTGATTATATTGAATCTATAAACTAACATAGGGAGATTACTATATTAATGTTCAATCACCCTCTTCAAAAGTAGAATATTTTATTCTATTTGCCTTTTTTAAATGTTTCAGGAGTGGTTAAAATTTTTGATGTTTTGCATATTTTTTTTGTTAAATCTATTCCTAAGTTTTTAATTTTCTGTCCCTCTTACAAAGTGAAGTTTTCTCTTCCCTCATTTCTTGTTTTTTTTTTTTCATGTGTGAATATGAAAGCTCTTGATGCTGCGTGTGAAGTTTGTATTCTTCACTGACTTCTTATATTGCTTGACTCTCTGGTGTTTTCCAGGTATTCTATCTTATCATCCGTGTTCTTTTCTATATATCTATAATGTATAATTTTAAGTTTTTAGTTTTTGAAATTGATTCTCTTGCATTTTACCTTGCTTTGCAATGCAGACTTGAGATGCCCATGTTTGGAAGGCTCATTGTGTCAAGTGAGAATGTCCTGCATGGACTATATTCTTTTAGTTTAAGAAAGGGCAAAAGATGGTTTAATAGTGACCACTGAGAAGTTGAGAAAAGGAGGATGAAGATAAGAACAAGTGTGTCTTAGCTTGTCTACTGTAAGACTTCATGTAGGGAGTCTGACAGGCATAAGGAAAAGTGTCTTATAAATTTGAGCATTGATTAATGTACACAATAGATTGTATTAAGGAAGATATGCTGAATGTTGTAAGAGAATAAGTACCATAAGAATATATAGAGAAAAGGAGATCTTTGTATAAGAGTAATATTTTTTTTTTAATGAACTAGCATGTATTGAACCTATGCATGGACCATGGACACTTGGGAAAGTCCACTTTAAGTCGGTCAAATGGAAATAAAACTAAATTGCTAGGTAGGTATAGGACAGTTGGTAAACCTATGTTATTTTCACTTATTATTCTAATAATTTATACATGACAGTAGAATGTATTTTGACAAATCATACATAAATGGGCTGTAACTTCTCATTCTTGTGAGGCACATGATGTACACTTATGCAGGTCATGTAATATATGCACATAGGGTAATATCTGATTCATTCTATTATCATGTAAACATATGTTCTTGAGAAGACATTCCAGGTAGAAGTGGACTAAGACAAGTAGATATAATCAAGCTTATATAGAATTTAGATTACAGCAAGTATAGTCAGCGTTCTGTGTCCATGGGCTCTGCATCCATTGCTCAAATCTCTGTGTGCTTAGAATTAACCTACCATGGGAATCAACCAACCGTGGATCAAAACATTAAAAAAAAAAAATCTGCTTAACACACATAGACCTTTTTCTTGTCATTATTCTCTAACTACAATATAGCAACTATTCACCTAGCATTTACATTGTTTTAGGTATTATAGGTAATCTAGAGATCAAGTAAATATACAGGTGGATATGTGAAAATCATGTAAATGCTATGTCATTTTACATAAGGGATTTGAGAATCTGCAGATTCTGGTATCAGCAAGGGTTCTGGAGTCAATTCCCACAGATGCCTAGTGCCTCCTGGAATTTAATTTGGGTAAAACAAAACTTTCTGTAGGGTAAGTGGTTCTTGCCACTAGAAAGATGGGCTGGCAGGTAACCATGAAGGTTTTTGGATAAAAAGTGAGAAGTTCATTCTTGACCATTCACATTGAAAGACTACTAAAGGATTTTTTAGCATAAACTTTTGAGTATATATGATTAAGTACAAACTCTAGAACATTGAACTTAAAAATGACTCTTTAAAATGTGTCCATGGCAGGAAGCCTGAAGATCAAATAAAACATCAAGGATTTGGGCTTGTTTTCAGATGGTTTCCCAAATTGTTCCTTGACTAAATCTAGTTTGAGTGTTTCATCTTCCTGGGGTGTGCTCTTACCATATGCAAGTTATTACCATATTCCCCCCAGTCTCCTCAGTCTCCCTGCATGCAGGTCAAAGTCCCCTGCAGGATTGTGAGAGCTTGTGTTGCTTAGTTTTGGCTCTCGAGCCAATGGTCTGGATTTGAATCATGACTTTGCCACTTCCTAGCTTTACAAGCATGAGCAAATCATTTGATCTCTCGGCACTTTGGTTTTCCCTTAATGTACAATGGAAATAAGACTTGCAATAATCTTAGAGGATTGTTATGAGGATTTATAAATTAATGCATGCAAGCACTTACAACTGGAAGCTGGCACAAAACAAGAAACCAAGAAAAGTTATTTTTGTTAATTTATAATAATACCCATTTTTATTGTTCTCTTGTCCTTTTGTTACCAGTTAATCACTTTGCAGCTGTGGGCAATCCTTTGTCAGATGTTAGTGCCAACTTAATGACGATAAGTGTTTTCTTAATACCTGTGGACATGTATGTAAATCTTTTGACTCAGCTGCTTTAGAAAACTTTGTTTCCCTGGTAACCTTGAATTTTTTTTTTATTTGCATCCATTAATTTGAGTTTTTCTTTTTCCTTTTCTATTGCTTAATTAAAAAAATTTATTTCCTATAGCTCTGGAGACTTAAAGTTCAAAACTGAGGTACTTGTAAGGTAGATTTCATTCTGAGCCCTATGCTCATGGCTTATAGGTGGCTACCATTGTCCTGTGGTTACATGTCCTTTGTGCTTGCAAGAAAGAGGAAGAAAGGTGTGCACCACATTGAGGGTTAGGGTGTCAACATTAGGGGGAAGTAGGGGACATACTTTAGTTCATAGTGCCCCCTATAGAGAGGTAATGAAAAATTGGGAGTAGTTAAACTATTGAAAACTCAGGCTGAACAACAGAAGGCCTCTTTGGCAGCTGTCAAAGTTCCATCTTCTGCAGTGGGAGAGAGAGAGCAGGGAAAGCTGAAGACCAGGGCCTGAGGGTGCAGCTCAGTGGTAGAATGTTATTAGCGTGTAGGAGAGAGGCCCTGGGTTTAATCCCCAGTAGAAACAAATATTGACTTAAGTTTTCTAAGAAAATGCCTTTGTTTGGCAGCTCTTCCCATCACTTTCCCATCTGTTTTGTGTATATTGGGGAGTTTCTACTAAAATGCTGAAATGCAAGAGATCATTATTACAGAAATTATCCTAAACTTACTTTTTGTTAAACAACTCTTAAGAAAGTAGTTTCAGGCTTTCATTTGGTTTCTGTGGTGGTAAAGTTTAAGTGCTCTGCATGTATTTATTTACCTAATTCTCTGAAGCTTTCATTTTGGTTTCTGTGTTGATAATAATGTCTTCCACATTTAATAGTTGATTTAGCCTTCACTACCCCTCCTTAGGAAGGTGTTGTTAATATTTGTTTTATAGAGGAGTAAAACAAGGAACAAATCGGTTATTTGTGTGTATCAGAAAATACTGCAAGAATGGAAATCTGTGGTTTGCAGGGAGAAATGGTGTATGCTGTATAGAAAGTGGCCTGAAGTGGTCATTTTTCTGCATCAGAAATAGATTATGTTACGTGGTTTGTGTACAACTACATTACAGTTGGACTTCTGAACAGAATGTCAGTACTGTGTAGTTAAATGAATAATGTATAATACATACTGAAAAAAAAACAATAGGTTCGAGCATTTTTAAATATTAGTTAAGGAATTTTATGTCTTTGTAATTGGAACCCAAAGAATTTGGCTCCAGGGTTAGAAATGTTATTTTTAATGAATTGCTTTTTCAGTTCACTGTGCTTTTCCTCTCTGCTTTATCTTGAAAGGGTCATAAATTGACAAGTCTGTTTTCAGCAGATGCAAAGCTTATGGGTTACAAATTATCTTTTCTAGCTGATTCTGTAATTAAAATGTGATTTCATTTAGAATTATTAAAGACCCCAAAGTCTTTAAGCTGAACAAAAATCAAGATTTGTTTCTGTGGCTGATTAATTGCACTATTTAATATTCTATTGGCAGTGGTACTGGGCTAGGGAGAAACAGACTGTGAATCTATTGACATTTAGTACAAAATGCTTTATTTTTTCTAGCTGAAGCAAAAAATTATTCCTGATCAGGATCAGCTGATGGCAATATCGCTAGAGTGCATCTATAACTGTGAACGAAATGATCAACTCTCTCTTTGCTATGACATCTTAGAATGTCTGCCACAAAGAGGATATGGGTAAGAGTCCATAGGCCAATCTTACTGTCCTTTTATTCTAACATTTAAAATGAAAACATTGCTTCCCCAAATATTCATCATAGAGAATTTTTGGAATGTGAAAGAAATACAAAGAGAAAAATAAAATCATCTGCAGTCCTGTTGTGTAGAGCTAAACTCATGTTCTTCTACCATTATATGGGAAGTTCTAGTATATTTTAAACTACTATATAATTTTGTTAAACTTGATAATTATCTGTTAAAAAATAAAAATGTCATTACCACAAAAAATTCTTTTTAGCTGGGTGTGATGTGGTGGCACATGCCTTTAATCCTACTGGCTCAGGAGGCTGCAGCAAAATAGAAAACAGATGTGGCTCAGTGGTTGAGTGTCCCTGGGATCAATCCCTGGTATCTCCCACCCCCAAAATCTTTTCATTAGTGGATTGGTACTGATTGATTTTGTTTTCAGTTGTGTTTTAATTGTCATATTTATCTGCTAAGTGTATGTATTCTGTGAATTGTTCTTGGTGCTTACCTGTGTTAGTCCTCAGGGGACATGTACTAGTGATGGATGAATGTGTATAATTTTTAAGTACTTTTATGTTTAAATGGAATCTTATATATGTGCTTTTTGATTATTGAGTTGGATGCAAATTGGAAGTCAGGTAACAGTCATTCCTTTAATCCTTTTTAAAAATCTAGCATATAATACAATTTTTACATCTGGAAAAGAATTCACGTTGCTTACAACACTTGAAAGAGCAGGAAGGGAAAGTCAGCAGGCCTGTTCTAAGCCTTTGTAACTTCAGTCATTTAACCTCTTGTCATTAATTTTCTTATTTGCAAGATGAGATACTTAAACAGGAAAGCTCCTTATCCATTTTCTCTTTCCTTGTCTGTCTCTTGTCCTTTCTAGAAAATATTTTTTAAGAAAGTAGACACCTGTTTTGCAATTCACCATGAAATAATTATCATGCAGTCATTAATAGTACTGAAATCAGATGAAAAATTAATGGTAAAGCAATATAGTAAAGCATTATCCCAGCGACTATTTTTCTTTTATTTTTAAAGGTGAAATTTACATTTATAAAGGCAAGGTCTGACTGCCATTTTCCTAGCCACCTTAGCCAGGCTGGCATCACTTATAGTCAAATAGCCTGACATCGCATGTCTGTCTTCTGATGTGATGCAGCATGAAGGACCTGGTATTTCAGTGCCCTGAGGAGTAATTGTGCTAGAATTGTTCACTCTGGATCTATCACTTTTCGGCCAAACTTCTATAGTTGAAACAGGAATTAGAAAGACAATTTAAATAGCCATGAAGAAAATAAGAAATTTCTGCAAGTCAGTTGGTCTTTTCCCTATAGAAAGTTGTTATTGAAAAAAAGAAGTGAGGTGCTGTTGTAAAATACATTAGTCCAGAGGGACATGATCCCCTCTTAATTTTTAAAAATGATGTAATGTATGAACACAGTTGAAACCAGGCAATTTAAGACTGATAGTAGACAACTGTTCATGGCCTCCTTTCTTCATCTTTAAATACCTGCCTTCATAAAAGCAGACAACTTTCATAATTTTTATTATCTTAACATTAGGCTTGTTAATATTGCAATTTTAGATCATTCTTGGTATGCTTTTATGGAAATGCTTTCCTTTTTCTGTTTGTATTCCTACTATTTTTTTTTTGTCATTACAATTATGCAATTGGGCTGGGGATGTGGCTCAAGTGGTAACACGCTCGCCTGGCATGCGTGCGGTACTGGGTTCGATCCTCCACCACATAAAAATAAAAGATGTTATGTCCACTGAAAAATAAATATTAAAAAAATTCTCTCTTCTCTCAAAAAAACCCCACAATTATGCAATATTGTTTACACAGAGTTAGGTGTTTTTGTTTCCTTTTGATTCAAGTTTGTTTTCCCTGGATTGGATAATCGCCTATTCTTTGTCCTTCAATCTTTCTAATACCATGATCACACCCTTCCAGTAGATAGAAGGCCGGACTGTGTGTGCAATTATAGGTGCACGATCTTTTTCCTGCAAGGTCTGAAGGTACTGCTCTTGTCTCCTCCAGGTTATTGAGAAGCCCAGTGCTATTCTGAATCATAGTGCTTTACGTGTGGTTTTCTTCCTTTCTACAGGGTTTACTATCTTATCCTCGTCCTTAGTGTTCTGAAATACCTTAAAAATATTTTCTTGCAAGTCTGAATTTGTTGTGTTGTTCATTGACTAGTCTACTCCATTCTGGAAGCTCATAACTTTGAGTCCTGTGGGAAATATATTTTTTTTCCTTAACAAGTTTATTTGTACATTTCTCCTCAAATTCCTGTTTTTCAAAAGTTAGATCTGTGAATTTTGTTATTTAACTGTAGCTCTCATTTAAAACCTTTTACTGCCCTTTTCATTCTGTTTCTCACCTTTGATCTGGGGTATTTCTTTTGTCTTATTTTATAATTCAGTTTTTTGAATTTTAAAATTTGTTTTTACCTTTTTAATTTAAATTCTAAGAACTTGTTCATTAAAAAAAAAAAAAAAATCCCCATCTTGTTTCACAGATGCATGGATACACGTTCTTCTGCTGTCTTTAATCTCACCTCAGTTTCTGGTTTTTCATATTTTATTGTTTATGCCTTTACTCTTAAGAATGTTTTTCTGTTTTTATTCTTGATGAGTAATTTATAGTTAAAGCCCTAAACAGCTGATTGGAAGCCTTGTATTCGTAGAGAGCAGGCTTGTTTCTAGATGAACCTTACCTTAACGTGGTCAGGAAGGGATATTTAAATGGGTGAGACCCTAAAATGCTAACAAGTGTTTTATCTTTTGTTAACTCAGAATAGTACCTCTTTTCCGCCCTTTCCATCTACATGTCTTCTACTTTTTAGTACTGGGGTGTACCTAATCCAGTTGTCTACAGTATGAAGTCCCTCTGTGCTTCCAGGTGTGGAAGAGTGGACTGCCTGTATGAGATAAAAGGACTATAACTGGTGTGCACGCGTGTGCTTATGTTTTCAGAAATACCTGCTGCTTCCAGCCCTTGGCATTCCTTTTTTCGCATATGTGCTGGCTTCCCATTCTTCTTGCAGTTGTTACTTCTCTGCTTTATGTCTATAGCCACCTAATTTGCATCTCCAGATTTTCTGTGCATCTCTTATCCACTGTTGTCTCCTTTCTCTTTCTCTCTGTTCCTTGTGTGTACACCCCCAGTTCCTTTTGCTGTTTCACTTACCGTCTTTTAAATGGAGTTTGGAAAGGAGTAGAGATAAATGTAGAGTTCCTTCTATCATATTTAATTGGAAGGCCTTTTAGTTCTGTTTCTGTAGTTCTATGATCTGTGTTCCCTTTTTTGACAAGCCCAGCCCCTTCACTATAGCACTACTTGCAGCTGGGTTGCCAGTCTTGTCTGTTTTTATTTTTTTAGAGAAGTGATATATCTTACATTCTGCCTGTTAGGTTACAGAAACATTGGTGATTTGTACATCCCGGTCATTCCTTTCTCCTTGTCAAAGTTCTAAGTTCTGACCATTAAGAAAGGATCTTAGCATTCATCCTGTTAATGGTAAAGCTGGATGGAGGTCGAGTAGTACTGAGTACCTCCCTTCTTCAGTTGGGCTTGGGCATCTTTGTGTAGGGAACTTGGTATTACTCAGACCTATGCGAGTATGGCCAGTCTCTCCTTCACATCCTTGGTAAAAAATGGCAGTATATAGCAAGTATGCCTCTAACAGTCATGTCCTTCAGTAGGCAGCAAAAGGCAGGTAAAATGGATTGTATTATAGACATTTTGCAGCAAAGTGTTGTTACCCACGGTTTAAAAACTTAAGTGTGAAGGATTTCAGAATTTCCTTCTATACAGGGCAACGTGATGCAGAGGCTACTCCCTAACCTGTTTTTCAGAGAGTAAGTCCTTGAAGGATTTCTGCTCCAATGAGCTTGGTGGGAAACTCGATGGTTCTCAGCTTGATGCCTCCTGTCTTGGTCCTAAGTGAACTAGACCAAATCATTGAACAGAATAATCACTTATTCAATGTCAATTCACAAAGGAAGTACACTGCGTTCTTTGGTATCTCTGACCATGCTACAGAATGATAATTTTAAAAAGATTACTGCTGAAGGTGTACATTAATGAAAGGTAGCTCTGACGAATGACTTTAGGTAGTCTATACCTGACTTCTCACTCTCGTTTGAAGCCTAAGAAGGCAGTATAATCTCTGAAAGTTGCACCGAATAGTTGTCAAATAATTTACACCAGGGAGATCAATCATTTTAAAAATAAGGAGGCTTTATGTTCAAGTTGGAACATTCGCTGAAATTCAGGGCACTGTGGGAAGGCACTGAGAGTGTCAGGTTGGGACTCTCAGCAGAGAGTTGTGGGGAGCACTTACTGTCATGTAGGGTGAGAGTGTTGATAGCAGTTGCTAGGTTTTTCTGCCAAATCCGTGTTCCCTTGATGTGTTGTGCCACGTTTCCTCTTCTCTACCAGCCACATTTTATAGACTTGTGCACCTTTTCCTAATATTTCTACTAGTTCCCACTCACTTGCTTCCACAGAAAGACTTGCTTTCCTGTCTTTACTTCCTGCCAGTGATTCTATCAAATGGTGGTTCTTCACCACTGAGGTGCATGGGATTCTGATGGGGTGGGATGATTTTGTGTGAGAGCTCCTCCTTGTATATGGAATGCTAATGAGGATATCTTAGGGAGGCCACAGATGTTGTCAGGCCTTGTTGAAAGCCAGTATGTGGAGCCTTGCTCCTTATCTGATGTGTTAGGTTTTTTTTTTTTAATTGTAGTTGTGTATGGGCAACATGCCTTTATTTTATTTGTATGCAGTTTTGAGGATGTAATCCAGTGCCTCACACATGCTAGGTAAGTGCTCTGCCACTGAGCTACAGCCCCAGCCCCCTGATTTATAGTTCTTCTCCAATTAACTTAAATTCTATTCTTTTCTTTTTGCCTTGAGTCAGAACTAAACCAAAAATACCTTAGAAAGTAGTTACTCATGTCTGGCTAATCTGTTACGGAGAATGTTGACCTACTCTTGTATTTTTTTATTTATTTTTTTTTGGGGGGGGGCGCAGGGGTGGTACTAGGAATTGAACTCAAGGGCACTCAACCACTGAGCCACATCCCCGGCCCTATTTTGTATTTAGAGACAGTCTCACTGAATTACTTAATGCCTCACTTTTTGCTGAGGCTGGCTTTGAACTCAGTCGGCCTGCCTTGGCCTCCCGAGCTGCAGGGATTACAGGCATAATCTATAGACTCAAGAAAACTATTGAATGAATTTAGGAGTTAAGCCTGAACTTTTATTTGGACAGTATGTTACATATGAAACAGAAGAGAAGCATGCTCTTAGACCACTGAATTGGGTGTTATGCTTTATTAAAGAGCCCCACTATTAAGACTTAATTTTTGTTCTTTCAATTCTTTAGTCATAAGACAAAGATGACCACAACTCTTCATGACATGGTAGACCAACTGGAACAAATTCTCAGGTGAGAAAAATGAAGTCTTTTGGTTCTGTGCCAAGTAAGTGGGACTATCCAAGAAGTGTGACCCTAAGCCAGCCTTTTAGTCATTATTTCTCCTTTGACCTTGTATTTTTTTTTTTCTGGTTCTTTTTTGAGTGAATCTCCCCAGTGATGAATGTACAGCTGCCTTGTTACAGCAGAATGGAAGAATAGTAAGAGGCATGGGATTATAGACTGATGAGCCTGTATTCAAATCTAGACATTTCTGCTGTGTAATCTTTGAACTTGTGGTTTCCTTATTTTTAATTACTGAACTCGTGGAATTTGGGAATTAATATTACATGAAGCATTTAAAGTCCCTTAAACATAACAGGCACAAAAGAAATGATAATTTCTGCAGCAAGTATTGAATCTGACTTTTTTGGGTACAATATATTTAATTAGATCAAACTGTGCTAGAACCTTCATATTACTTGGTATTAGTTTTCTTTACTGTTCTGAGGAAACATTGAGTTATTTCTTTGAGATTGGAACATTCTTAATTTGCCATTTAAGAAGTTAATATTGTTAGCGTTTATGTGTATGTAAAAATGTAACTTTAAAATATTTCAAATAAAATGTTAAGAATAACACTGTTCTTTCAATGTGTAATTATAGAAATTACAGATAATAACACCACTTTAGTAGTGGTAATATGTATGGTAAAATATAATTTGGAGTTCAGTAATTTTATTCACTCAAACTAAGGGTCTTTAGGGTAAATATTTTAAGCTGCACTTAAGGGAACAGAATGTTTTGTGTGCCATGTATGTGAATTAAATGAAGAATTAAATGGAGGTCCTGAGAAAAACAGTTATTATTAGCTTGATTCTTATTATTCTATGTTCTGAAAATTATACAGTTGTATTTCTTACAGAATGTTTAACAAATCAAGTGCTTCCTATTACAAGTTGACTTTTCGCTATTCCTTTTATCTGTTTGCCTAATGAAACCTAGAAAAGATTTCACTGAGATACAGTGAAATAGTCATACTTTATTTACTGCATGTTTGTGGTCCTTATGCCACCAGTACCTCAAGAAAACAGTAGTATCCTATAGGTCTCTGGATGATGCTTATTAGGTCTTACTTTTAAGGTGTGTGTGGGTGTTTTTTTTTTTTTTTTTGGGTACTGGGATTGAACTCAGGGGCACTTATCCACTGAGCCACATTCCCAACCCTATTTTATATTTTAGAGACAGGGTGTCACTGAGTCGCTAAGCGCCTCGCCATTGCTGAGGCTGGCTTTGAACTTGTAATCCTCCTGTCTCAGCCTCCCATGCCGCGTTTGACACTGTGCCTGGCCGTAGGTGTTATTTTAAAATAAGAACTTTTTAGTCTTGTTGCCCCTCACAGCTACAAATCATAGAATTGTTAACAACGAGTTAAAATTGGGCAATGAAATTATATATTTGGTTTATTTTACTGATTTGTGTTATGGTAGAGGGAAATTGCTAAAATAATTTTGAAATAAAAATGCCCTTTTAAAAAATATGCTTTAGTCCAGGTATATTCTAATGAAAGTCGATGGGGAAAATAAGATTTGAAATATAATGAGCTTTGTTTTTCTTAAAATATAAAACTGGATCATATTGTGTGATGCTCTTTGTTTTAATACTAGAACTTAAATATTTGTATGTTTAAGATTGTTTAGAGTCCTTTTGTTTGGCAGCAAGATTTTAAATAATTCTTTTTTTACTTACAGTGTGTCAGAGCTTTTGGAAAAACATGGACTTGAGAAACCTATTTCATTTGTTAAGAACACTCAGTCTAGCTCTGAAGAGGCTCGCAAGCTGATGGTTAGATTGACCAGACACGCCGGTCGGAAGTGAGTCGTTAAAACTCATACGCATATACAGTTTGATAAGGTTTGACATATATATGCTCATGAAACCATCAGTATTGTCAGGTTCATGAATATATTCATTCCCCTTAAGGGTTTGCTGTTGCTTCTTTACGATCCATTCCTGCCAGCTTCTCCTCATCAAGTCCACTTTCCCTTACAAGGTCAGATCTACTTTCTGTCCCTTTACATGTTACTTTACATTTCCTACAATTTTGTGTAAATGAATCATCCGTATTTTGTGATGGTTATTTGACATCTTTTACTCAGAATATTTTGATTAATTCAGTAGCCCATTCATTTTTATTTGCTGAGTTGTATTTCATTGCTTGGATTAATCTCACCTTATTTAACTATTCTATTAGTGGACATTTGGATGGTTCAGGTTTTGACTTTCACAAATATATCTGCTGTTGATATAGATTTCAATTTCTCTTGAATAAATACATAAAGGTGAACTGGCAGGATCATGGTAGGTAGATGGTTAACTTGGGAGAGGGGGCCACCTGCCAAGCTGTTTACCAAAGTATTTGTATCGTTTTATTTTTTAACCAGTCTTGTAGGAGAGTTCAGCTGTTCTATATCCTCATCAATACTTAGGATTGGTCAGTTTTGTTAAGCTCAGCTATTTTAATAGGTATGTGGTAGTATCTGATTTTGGTTTTAGTTGCATGTCTTTAATAATGTTGGGGATCCTCTTATAGGCTTATTTGACAAGTCTCTTTTCATGGTTTTTTTTTTTTCTCCTTTGGTACTATATTGAATCCAGATGTGCTTTATCACTGAGTTAAATCCCTAGTCCTTTGTAAAAATTATTTTTTTATTTTGAGAAAGGGTCTTGCTAAGTTGCTTAGGGCCTTGCTATTGCTGAGGCTGGCTTTGAATTTGATTCTCCTGCCTCAGCCTCCTGAGCTGCTGGAATTACAGGTGTAATTCAGGAGGGGCTTATTATTTTTTTTTTTTTAAATCGTGTCTTCGTTTTTTTTAATATGTTCAGGATACATGCTCCTTGTTAGACATATGCTGTGTAATCTTTTCTCCCCTTGTGCCTTATGTTTCCATTCTCTTATTTGTCTTTTTAAAAGCATATTTTAAAAAATCAATTGGTGGTTCTTGAATTCTGCTTTTGTTTTCATATCTAAAAAATATTTGCCACAGTTTTATATTTACCTTTTATAGCAGAATTTTTAGTTGTATGTTTATTTTTAGGTTCATGATGCATTTTGAGAGTTTACTTTTATTGTTCAAAGTATGCATCACATTGGAATGAATTTTTGGTGGTAGGAGTCAAACCTAGGGCCTTGTACACACTAGGCAAGGAGTCTACCATTGAGCCACGTTCCCAGCCCTCACATCTGAGTGTTAACCACACTACTTGTTGAAAATACTGTCATTACTCTACCTATTTACCTTTGCAACTTTGTTGAAAATCGGTTGTGCATATGTGTAAGGGTGATTTTTTAAAGTCTTTATTCTGTCCATTAATTTTTCATTCTTCCAAAAGCACATTACACTGGTTACTATAGATCTATAATAAATCTTGACATTAGTTAATATTAGTCTCTCAACTTTTTTCTTTTTCAAGTTTGTTTTGCTTATTATAGGGCCTTTCCATTTACATATGAACTTTAAAATCAACATGTCAAGTGTTCTCATTTGGGATTTTGGTAGGGATTATATCAAATTTATATATTTTGGAGGCATTGCTATCCTAAATCCCTATTAAGTCTTCTATTCCATGAACACAGTATACCTCTCTATTTACTTGGGTCTTCAATGATTTTGTTGCTTTTGATGCACAAATCTCATACTTATTTTGTTAAATTGATTTCTAATATTATTTGTTGATTCTATTGTAAATGAAATTGCTTTCTTAATTTTAAATTGTCCATTCCTAGGATGTAATGAAATACACTTGATTTTTGATACATTGATCTTGTGTTTTTTAACTTTGTTGGACTGACTAGCTTGAATAGTTTTTCTCTGCAGACTTCATAGTCCTGGATGCTAAAGTAGAAAGCTGCCATGTGCTTGGAAAGCTGAGAGTAGTCAGAATGGGGAGGGCATGTGGCTTGTACAGTGTGTGCTAATCAGGATTGTTGTAAGCCACATCTCTCGTCTTTCCCAGTCATGACCTCCCTTCAATACATAACTTTGCCCCTTTTTACTGCCTGATGCAAATAAAATTCTATAGTATGTACTTTTATGTAGTTTCCCTGCATTATATTGGTGAAATTCATCTACATTGTTGGTATAACATTATTTGTTCATTCTCATGGTTGTAAAATATTTCATTTTGTGAATATAATACATTATTTATAAATTCTATGTTATGGACATTTTGATTATTTCTCAGTTTTGCTTGTTCTTAATACTATTTCTATGAATAATTTTAATTTTTAAAAATTTGTTCTTTTTAAACATGATAATAGAATATATTTTGACATATTTAAATAAATCTGAAGTATATCTTATGAAGATTCTAGTCTCTTGTTGCACATATGTGGAGATTCACTGTGCTATGCTTACATATGTACATAGGAAAGTTAAGTCAGATTCATTCCTCCGTCTTTCCTATATGTATGTCTTTGGATATATATGCATATGTGTTTTTCTTGAATACCATACCTACTTAGCATACAACTGCTGAGTTATAGAATATACCTGAGACCAACTTTAGGAGATTCTGCCAAATCATATTTCACAATTATTGTGTATATTGCTCTAGCAATATAGAGTTATTTGATACTGAGTTTTTTTTCCCCTTTCCTCCTTTTTTTAAGCAAATACGATAGCATTTTACTGAAATCCTAATGTGTATTTCCCTAATGACGTTGAAGTTGGGAACTTTATAATAGGATCAAAACATCACATTTCTAGCAGTAAATCTAAAATGAAATATATAAATCATATACACTGAAAATTACAAACACTGAGAACAATAATAGACATAAAAAAAATGGAGAAATATACCTCATGTTGATTAGAAGATACAGTAGTGTAAAAATGTCAGTTCTGCCTAAGCTGATCTATTCTTTTCCTGCATTCCTATAAGGATTCTAGTATATGTACATATTAAGAGCTGCGCAAGTATAAAATTTGTTCAGTGGAAATGTTATTTTCTGATGCTGATCAGAAAATATTTGTGTTGCTCAATAATTTGGTGAATATGTGACTTTTTCACGTTCTATTTCTGTTGCTTAAAACAGTTTCTAAGTTTATAGGTAATGAATCTTTTCAAACGAATGAGTGAATAAGTGTAAAAAGATAATGTTAAATTTGATAACTAGAACATTTGTATTTACACTAATTCTGTATGTTTCTATGTTAACTTCATTTGAAGTATAACAGTCATTCTAAGGAAGTTAGAAATTTTGCTGAGTTTCTCTTTGGAAATTTACTTAAAACCAGTTATAAGAGACAGGACAACTGAACTCATTAGTTAACATTTACATTTCTTAAATATTTATGAATTTTTTATTTACATTATTTTATGACTATTTTGTTATGGATTTTGACATACTTAGTGTCTGTATTATGCTTGATGTCAGGCTTCTGAGGAAAAAAGACATGACACCTGTCTGGACTGGTTGGAGCTATGTCCAATTAAATTATACTAACAGAATACTCATGAAGTCTATGTGAGAATTAACAGATTACCTTGTAGAAAAGTTGGCAACAGAGTTGAAAGGCATTTTGAAGTAGGTGGTATCCAAATGTTCAGTAATAAATTCTAAAGTTTTTTTTAATCTATTATACTAGATTTTTAGGCAGGGAAATAAGCAGAGAGGACCTGTGACCTTGTGGCCTTTAGGTGGAGATTCCAGATTGAAGATGGATGTGAAGATCAGAGAGGTGTGAGCTAGAGGTAGGGAGTGGAGGGTTATCCCCAAGGATGCAGGTGAGGTTAGATTCTGAACCTGTCCCTCAGGAGACTGTATAAAGATGTGAAGAATGCTTGGGAAAAGTCTTCTCAAAAGCTAATGCTGAAGGGGCAGCCTCACAGGAAGTAGGATCAAATAATGAGAGCTTTTCAAAATCTTCTCTGTCTTGTTGTTACAATTTTGAGACATAGTTTAAGATTAAAAGAAAAAACTCCGATGCTAATGAGACAGTCTTATTATATTTCCCTCTTTTAAGATCTTGTTCCACATCTTTTTAGGAAACCTGGTTTGACTACTCCAGGTGGAATGAATTGTTTTTCCTGGAGATTCCCTGGCTTTTCCCGTGTGCCTCCCTTGCTGCTGTCCTCATTTCTCGCAATAGCATCCTGTGGTTACTAAAGTCTGTACTTCACATTCCCCTTTAGATCACTCTTTCTCTAGCACGAATGTGATCACCACCATACAGCTCAGATGGGAACTCACATATCAGCTGTCTGACTATTGAATGAATGATTAAGATTTTGAATGATTCAAGTCTTAAGATTTCTTAATGGCCGGAGGAATGCAACTCAGTGCTAGTAGCACTTGCCTTGCAGACTGGGAGACTTGGATTTGATCTCAAGTTCTGCAAAACAACCAACCAATCAATCAAAATGCAAAACAAAAATCCCACTTCTCTTTCCTTTAAGAGGGGGAAAAAATTCCTGTTCAAGTGGGGTGTGAGGTTCTGACTGCTCTAAAACCTTCTCTTTAACAGGAAAGCCTTGCTGTTGCTGCAAGATTATCCTCACACTGAGTTTCTTACATAATGTTGAAGTGTCTGAGGTTAATTTCTACTGTGACCTGTTTACTAAGAATACGGCCCATTTTCAAAGTAGAATGTTTAAAATGAATTTTAATTATTTTGTTCTGTTACCATGGCTTGGCCTTCATTGCCTCCAGAATAGTCTTGTATATATCCTAAATGGTAGCAATGTCACCAAATCTGTTAAAACCGAGGTTTGACCATCTTGAATACAAGACTGTTTTTCCCTTAAAAATCCACCTCTGTTCCAAAGCTGAACTCATACTGTGTATGTGTGTGTTCAGGAATCTTGTTAATTTGCAAGCCTGTTTAGTTTCTTCAAGTTCTATTCTTCATTCTTATTTACTGAATGTTTTCTGAAGAAGGCCATTATAAGTAATATGTTATAATTTATTTTAATTAGAACTCTATTTACGACTAGCCATGTGTGAGGAAACGTTAATACCATCTGTCCCAGTGCTGATGGCTTCTAGAAGAACAGCTGGGCTGTGAGGACTTGAGTTCAGCTAGATGATGCCTAGGTCTGATTTTATTGAGCTGGTGGAAGCTGGGGCCCTCACTTCATCAAACATTTCGCTGTGTCTCCGCTTGCATACCAAAGCTGAAAGAGTCCTCCATTCTTTGATGCCAGAGGGTAGAGTTCAAGTACTAATATCAAACTAATGAAAACATTTTATGGATTATTCTGAGAAATTCTTGCCAATGTTATATATTTTTTGTGTGTGTATGCTAAAAAATGGTTTTCTTCTTACGTATTACATATGAAACGAGAGTAATTCATTTTGCATAATATAAAATGCCAAAGGCAAGTGAAGCATATTCTTAAAATTTTTAGGAGAAGCTGGGCAAGGTAATGTGTGCCTTTTACTCCAAGAACTCGGGAAGTTGATGCAGGAGGATCACTTGAGCCCATGAGTTGCAGGACAGCTAGAAAACATAACACAAAAATTTTTATAGACTAGATTTTTTACAGAAATTACCCCTCAATGCATACTTTTTGTATAGAAATATTATATGTGTACTGTCAATCTGCTCTTTTTAACACAGCTCTTGGAAATAGTAATAATTTTTAAAAAATGCATTATATGACATAAAGCCAAAAATGATTAACAAAAAGATATATTATCTAGTTGGTATTTGACAAACACAAAACAGAATCTACCCTTTTCAAACATTGAGATTCAGGGCTGGGGTTGTGGTCCGGTGATAGTGTGCTTGTGTTGCGTGCATGGGGTACTGGGTTTGATCCTCAGCACCACATAAATAAAATAAAGGTATTGTGCCCATCTACAACTAAAAAAAAAATTGAGATTCATTATGTAGAACTTGAAAACAAATTTTAGGTAAACATAAATGATGATTCCAAAGAAATATATATTAATCTAAGATGAACTTTTGAGAATTATAATGTTCTTTCTACAAGGCAATATTAGTAATCATATGTAACTTAAACACATAAATGTATTTGTAACTTCATTTTCATTCACTGTTTGTTGAAAACTTAATAGCAGAAAAATTGGAAGTCTTTTTATATGTTCTAGTTTAAGTTCATCTTTATAACATAGATAAAAGGGAGCCTAGAACTCAGTATATTAAAGACTCAAGTTCATACAGGTAATAAAGCTTATAGGAGCATCTTGCATAATGTTTGTGTTTCATCAGAATTATTATCCATTCCTTTTGAGACTGAGGTGGGCTTTGAGTTAGGAAAGTGAAATTCAGAAAAATGACAGCTAATCTGACTGTGGATGAAAATGTTAGCAAAACCCTTTCCCCTGCTACAGGAGATCTTGACCATTAATTCCCTTCTTTGTACCTTTGGAAGAAAACATAAAATGGTTTTTAATCAACCGAATTACAAAGATCTCACTGCTTGGGTATAACTGATCGAACTGGTAAATTACTTCTGGCATGGAAGAAGTGTAAATGACCCAGAAATACCCTGTGGGACCTTTTCACTTTGGCCTTTCTTGAGTGTGGTCACTGGCATGTTTCTTAAGGGGCCTGGAACACTGTGGAATAGTTGCAGAGGGTCCTGGCTCTTGGGAACAGGAAGCTCCTTGCTGTGCCCACGGGGTGAACTGCTGTAACTGCTCCATGAGGCTGCTTTTACCTGAACTGTCACCTGAGAAGGTGACTCTGCAGTATTCTGTAAGTTGCTGTATGGAGTGCTGTCCATACTGTCAATGAAGGAACAACTCAAATGGCCCTGCTGCGAGTCATGGTTCCCATCCTGCCTTCAAATCCAGTGTCGCCTGTGGTTGCCCCATGTGTTTGAATGTTCAGTTGAAGACAGACCTCAGAGAGGAGGTGCACAGTGATGAAGAAGAAGTTTGAAATGAATTCCTGTCTCCAAATGCTTTTTCTTCATCATAGCTGCTTTATCTTTTTGTGCTTTATTTTACCTTAGAAACTCACAACTTGTCGATATGCCATTTGTTTTCTGCTGCTCGTTTCGTGTCTAAGCAGCCTATGACAGGGGCTGATTTGGCAGCAGCTCTAGCATTGAGGTACAGCTGCCCAGCTTTTCCTTCTGTCTTCATATGAGATCATTCCTAGTGATCATTTGGAATGGTGGTACTTGTTTGTTGTGTTCTTAACTTTTAACTAATAGAAGAGAGATCTTTCATGTTTTCGGTTTTCATCTTTTGTTTTTCCTGTTATTCCAGGCAGCCTCCTGTGAGTGAGTCTCATTGGAGAACCTTGCTGCAAGACATGTTAACCATGCAGCAGAATGTGTACACGTGTCTGGATCCCGATGCTTGTTATGAGGTAACTACACCTGTAAACTGCTGCCTTTTAATTTTTTACACTGTTGGTGACAAGATGACGATAAGCTGCACTGTGATACTGTTCAAATAGCTGATAATTGACGGGTACTTCCAGTTTAGTAGTTTTATACTCACTATTTTCCTATCTTTGCTTATTGCAACACCCAGTATTTAATGGGGTAATCATGAACTAAATACAAAATTGTACGTGACTTCTCTTTGTGGTGGTTATTAAAACTTTATTTAGTGGCTGAGGGTGTAACTCAGTGGTATAGTGCATTCTTAGCTTGTGAGAGGCCCTTAATTCAGCCCTCAGCATGCAACAAGACTATAAAACCAAAAAACATATTTAATGTACCTTAGAAAACTCTTCCAGATTTGTCTTGTCTTCCTTTATCTTTGCTGAATTGCAGTAATCCTACTTGTTTTCCCTATGTCTGTATCTCTTTATTGTTTATCCCGTCAGGGTATTCTTCTAAAACAAAATGTTCATGGTGCTCCCTTTCTTAAATGTGTTGCTTGATATCATATAAATAACTAGATGAAAATGTTAGCATTGTAGTTGTTGTTTGCATGGCATGGAGAGCCACAGCAGCCTGCTTTCTCCTGTCCACTCCCACCTTGGTCACACTCCACCATGAATTTATATTCCAGGAGCTCCATCAAATCTGACATGAATCCACCTATCCACCATCATGCTGGTCCACGTTTCTGTGACTTTATGTACTTTGCCAGAAATATATTCCTTTTTCATTTACTTGGAACATCCCGATGCATTTTTAGGACGCAGCTCACTAATTATGTCCCCTAGGACACCTTCCTTTGTCTTTTCATATAACTTACCTCTGCTGTAGCTTTTCTTAAAATACAGTTTTTGCTTACATATGTGTTCCTTTGATTTGGTCATGGTCCTAGTTAGGTGTTATCCCAACAGATTCATCCTTACATACCCCAGTGTTATGTCTGGAATGTAAAAAATGATGCTTAAGAAATGGTTGTCACTTGACTGGGAACATAATCCAGGGGGACTTATTATTTCTGAAGGTTTGTGTAATAACAATAAATTACTGATGATCCAACTAACTCATTTTTAATGAGATTCAGCCTAAAAGAGGTTTCGCATTTGAAGTTTCTTGTTAAATAAGTCATGTACAAAACTATATAGGGCATTCCTATAACAAAGCACAATCCATTTTATGGAATGAGAGTTGTAAAAATAGGTCTCTATTTTGTGAAATTGTTGAGTTTTTTAATTCAAGTAATTCAAATAAAAAAGCAGTAACAGACTGTTGAGAAAAGAATGATTTTATATTTGAAATTCAGGTTTTTAAATGCTTGACTGACTGTAAGGTTGATATTGTTGATTACAGTCTCACAGCACATACAATTGCCAGGTAACTTCCCATTGTGTGTTTAAAACAAAACTTGAAATCGAATTTAGGAGAAAATAATCTGTATGCACTTGGAATCTAAAACTGACTTACTATGTCTGAAGTAGTATTTTTATATCACTGTGGTGGTGTTTTGGTACCTTCCTGTTTCGGATTAGGATTCTGATTCTGATTGAAAAATTGGCCATCTGTATGTTACACTTCAACTAGCTCCTTTGTGCAGTAATCTCTCATAACAACCGGATTGATATATTACATTTTAAAATATTGTAGTACCTTTTTTATTAGGCTTGACATCTTAATGATATCTATTTGAGTGTCTCTCTGTTGAGAAAACATTTGAAACATTATGAAGATTCTAGAAGACAGTTGTATAGATTTGATAAACTTAGAAGTTTTAAATACCATTTTTGTACCTTTAAACTATGCTATATTGTCTTACTGACTTTCAGTTATTAGATTTTGCTGTCCTTGGAAAGTAATTTGAAACCTCAGTGGTGTAACTTTGAAAATGTTACATGAAGATTTACTTAGACTGTAGAACAGAAATCCATACTGTTCATTTTAGCAAGACTTTAAGTTTTAGGATTAAATAATTTGAGTTTTTCAGCTTTTGCCTTGAGTCTTTATGGCTTGCTTGAATAAACCAGAGGTATAGAGAAACTGGTCCATGATTGGAGGAAGCTGTTTTGGTGAGTCAGATGGAAGAAGCGATGAGGACTGTTCATAGATTTGCTTTCTATATAATATTTGTTTTATAGAAGATACTTCTTAGACATTAGTGACTTTTTTCTTACCAGACATCTCGATAAAGGCCTGGTCAAAAATGCTTCTCGTAAAGTGATAACAAGGGAATACTGTGAAAACTTGATCTTAATTATGAGGAAACTCTTCTCCATGAAATATATATATATATTTATCTTTTCTGTTTCTCTTCTATCTTCATCCAGCTGTGGAATGCTAGGGAAGAACATTCTTGGGGAAGTTCTTGTGCTAATTATAGATCACATTATTAGTTTTCCTTAAAAGTTAAAAATTTTTTTTTAGTCATACATGGGCACAATATCTTTATTTTGTTTACTTTTATGTGGTGCTGAGAATCGAACCCAATGCCTCACATGTGCCAGGCAAGTGCTCTGCCACTGAGCCACAACCCCAGCCCTATAGATCACATCATTAGTGTAGGCTTTAAAAGGATCACATTAATACTTTATATAGTATGTATGTAAGCTCAATTAATTTATTACTTTTATTAATTGATACTGTTAGTTGCCTCCTAGAATATAATGATATTTGCATGAACACTTTCTATCAGTGTCTTTTTATTGAAGTATTTTTTTTGGGGGGTGGGGGAGTTCCAAGGAGTGAACTCAGGGGTACTCAACCACTGAGCCACATCCCCAGCACTATTTTGTATTTTATTTAGAGACAGGGTCTGAGTTGCTTAGCACCTTGCTTTTTGCTGAGGCTGGCTTTGAAGTCGTGATCCTCTGTCTTGGCCTCCTGAACTGCTGGGATTATAGGCATGTGCCACTGCGTTCAGCTTGAAATATTTTTTAATATGCAGGTTGAAAAAAATCTGTGCTATGTGGTATATCATAATTTTAATCAATAGGTTAAATATAACACTTGTAGCTTGTCTGTTTAGTTTGTGAGACTGAATTCAGATGGGTTAACCAATTATAAGTTATGTATAGCATACTCAAAGACTTCCTTTTAAAAATTGAAGTGATTATAGTTTAACAGAAGGACCCTGGTTAAGGGTAGGGGAGTAATATCTATTAGATGTTCTTTTTAATGAATATTAACTTTGAATACTTCTAACACCTTAAAATTATATGCTTTTGTTTTGGTTCAGTGAAATTATTCTTTATTCGTCCTAAAAGATAAATTTTTTTTATTCAAGTGAAATTAGCCGGTTTTGAAGGATATAATTTATTGTTATTTTGTACCTCTACAGTGTTATACAACCAGCGGATGTGGTTGAATGTGTTTTTGTTTCATTTGGATTTCAGAGCCTTCATTTTGTTAAAAATGAATCTGCCTTGTCTATCACTAATTCCTGTGTTTTTTTTCCTTCCCAGATACTTACAGAAAGCCTTCTGTGCTCCAGTCGCCTTGAGAACATCCACCTAGCTGGTCAAATGATGCACTGCAGTGCTTGGTCAGTAAATCCTGCAGCCAGTGCGGCCCAGAAAGGAAAAATCCAGTACAGGATCAGTTACGAGAAAAGTATTGACTTGGTTTTGGCTGCCAGCAGAGAGTACTTCAACTCATCCACCAATCTTAGCGACAGCTGCATGGATCTGGCCAGGTAGAACACCTATTTTTTCATAAGAGGGGCAAGTCACAATGCACAAACTCCACCGTGACTTGATTCTTTGTAAAATGTCACAAGTACAGTTACTTATTGCTTCAGTATAAAATGAAAACTAATGAATTATGAATATCCATTAACTTCATCTTGACCCAGTATCTGCAGCCTGTTTTTTTCTAAGTCATTTGTGCTGATTATAAGTCTGTATTTTTCTTTTGTTGGAAAAGATTCATGTGATGGCATATAAATTCAAGTTCTGAAAATTCCTAGGATTTTGCACAGTATTTATCTGATTAGAGACAAGAGACCTGATTAGATGATAAAGTTCAAAAGTTCCTTCCAAGTAGAAATATCTAGAATATAAATTCAGTTCCTCTCTTGGCCTGTCTTATTAGTTTAATCCTCTTATTTAAATAGAAGAGTCTAAATTTTTAGTTACTCAAAATTGAACTGATTTTCCGTGAAAGAATTTATTCATGATTTGAAATTAGTTTTTACAGTTAATTTTGATGAAATTGAAAGACTAATAGATACTGATGAAAAAATATCACTTTATGATAAAAGCTTCAAAAATATTTCTATATTAGTCCATTTTTCATTATTAAAATGAAATAACCTGAGACTAAGTACTTACAAAGATGATGTGTTTATTTAGCTCATAGTTTTGGATGCTGAAAGCTTGAACCATAAAGGGCTTGTCTCTGGTGGGGGGCCCCTTACTACATCAGCACTTGGCAGATGGCATCACAAAGGCAGGAAGAGGTGAGAGAGGGAGGAACCCATGGGAAGCCAGAGCAAGGGGACTGGGCCAGTCTTAGAACTTCTCACTAGTCCCCAATTCTTAAAGAAATATTACCACCACCATACTAGGGACTAAGCTCCCAACATCTGAACCCTTGAGGGACACTGAAACCATGACCAAACCCATAAAATGGATCTTTCTTCTTCAATGCTGCAGGAGCTGAAAAGTGGCATCCTTTTTCTTGCCATCTGACCAATTTCCTGATGTTCTTATCACTAGCTGTTTTCTCTCTTGTAGTGTCTAGTCCTATTACTACTACGTACTTCCCATCTAATTTCATATCTTGGAAGTCTGAGTCTGTTTTGTTTTTCTTTGATCTTTTTTAGACTGTTCTATTTTGCTTAAAGCTAAATTGATTTTCATTCCTTTCTACAAACACATTTTAAAACTGCTTTTAGTTCAGTTAGCAGTTTTTCTGAGGACTTGGCTTTCTCATGTCCTCCATGAGTATTTGTTTCTTTGGTCAAACAAAGGAACTCAAGAAAAGGTAGGCAAGTTGCTCTACCACTGAGCCACAACCCCATCACAGCCAGTAGATTCTTATCTAGTAGTCTTGTTAACTAGCTTTTTATTGAGAAAGCAATAAATATCCAAACAATGTAAGAAGGATATGAATGGGAACATTTTTCTCCTCGTTCTGTTTCCTCTAAATTTTCCTTAGTTATTTTATTAGTTTCTTTATCTTTTCAAAATATTTTATTGATCACTATCCTCTTTCTTAAATAACAAGTTTTTCCTATTCATACAGTCTGTTTTAGTCATCTTTTGTATCATTGTGACCCAAAGACCAGATAAGAATAATGTAGAGGAAGTTTGTTTGGGACCTCAGTTTCAGAGGTCTTAGTCTGCAGATGGCCTGCTCTGTCGCTCTGGCCCTGGGAAGCAGAAGGGCACGGCAGAGGAAAGCAGATCAGATCATGCCCACAGGAAGCAGAGAGTTCTGCTCACCAGGGCCCAGATACAGACCCACTGAGTGCACGCCACAAGTGACCTGCCTTCTCTAGCCACAAGCTATCTGCCTTTACTTAACACCCAGTTAATCCATATCCGCTGAATAGATTAAGGCTCTCAAACCAAATTTCACCTGTGAACTTTCTTGTGTTGTCTCTCTCATGAGCTTTTTTTGGAGGCACCTCATATCTAAACTATAACACATACCTTTTTTATGATCATTTCATACTCTTCATATTTTACTTAAATATAAAACTTACATAACTTATCAAAATATTTAAAGCTTTTTCACTTTAATAACAAACTTTAGTATACAAGTATTAGAACATCACATATCCATAAAATATGTACATAAAATATTTGCATGAAATTTTATGCTTTTATGATCAGTTAAAACATTTACTTACTTAGAAATATTATTTATGAAAACACCCAATTTCTTCTAAAATGCTTATATAATGTTCTATTACTATATTTTTGCTATTATAATTATCATCATGGCTAAAGAGGTTAAGGACAGGGAGAAAGACGGCAAAGCTCACAATGAACTAAAGACATGATTTGGGTATCATCCTACTTTATATACAGAGATGAAAAATTGTATGTATGTGTAATAAAGATTGTAATGCAAAAAAAGTACACGTATAAATATATGAATTGGCATGAACCTACTTTATATACAAAGATATGAAAAATTGTGCTATATATGTGTAATAAGAATTATAATGCATTCAGCTATTGTGTACTTAAAAAATGAAATCAATTAAATAAATAAAATCCCTCCTTATTAAAAATAACACACACCTTTTTATATCTTGCTTTTTATCACCTATGTTCTATCTTGAATGTTTTTTAGATATAAGTACATATAAGTTTATTGCATTATTTTTTAAAAATTTGTCTAAATTAGTTATATATGTCAGTAGAATGCATTTTTGACACATCATACATAAAGGGAGTATAACTTTTCATTCTTCTGATTGTACATTATATGCACATAGAATAATGTTAGGTTCATTCTCTTTCCTACCCCAAACCTCTTGCCTTGCCTTCACTCCCCTCTAATCCATAATAAGTCTGTTCTTCCCTAGCCCCATCCCCTTATTGTCAACTAGCATTCGCATATCAGATAAAACATTCAGACTTTGGTTCCTTGGGGTTGACTTATTTTGCTTAGCATGCTATTCTCCAGCTCTATCCATTTGCTGGCAAATGTCATAATTTCATTCTTCTTTAAGGCTAATATTCCATTGTGTATATATAACACATTTTCCATTCATTTCTTGAAGGGCACCTATGTTGGTTCAGTAATTTAGCTATTGTGAATTTAGCTGCTATAGACATTGATGTGGCTGTGTCAATATAATATGCTGGTTGTAAATTCTTTGGGAATAAACCAAGGAGTGGGATAACTGGATCAAAGGGTGGTTGCATTTCAGTTTTTCTGAGGAATCTCCATACTCCTTTCCAGAGTGGTTGCACCAATTTGCAGTCCCACCAGCAGTGTATGAGGGTACCTTCCCCCCACATCCTTGCCAACGTTTATTGTTGTTCGTATTCTTGATGATTACCATTCTGAATGGAGTGACATGATATCTTAGAGTAGTTGTGATTTGCATTTCTCTTAATTGCTAGAGATGTTGAACATTTTTTCAAATATTTGCTGATTGATCGTATTTCTTCTGTGAAGTGTCTTTTCAGTTCCTTAGCCCATTTATTGATTGGGTTTTTTTAGTGTAAGTTTGAGTTATTTTTTGATAGTTATAGAATATTCCACTGTGTGACTTTTATAGGATTTATTAATTCCCAATTTGGTACGTTTTCTTTAAAACAGCAGTCTGTGGAAATTATTTATAATACTACCTCTTGAGAAAGTATGGGCCTATCTGTAGTATAAATTTCCACATCTTAGAATTCCAGGATTCAGAGGCAATTATATTTGAAGTGTTTATAGAAACTACAAAGAAATCAGACTTTTTACAGCGAATTGGGAGTATAAGTGGGTGTTCGACTGATTTAAATCCTGCAGGTTTGCAAGAACAAGCTAGGCCTCTTTGTATCACTCAGGCATATGGCATCTAGATACTGGCACCTAAGTACTTCTGATGGTCTGTGGTTTCAGCAGTTACTGGTCCTTAGAGGCATGACCTCTGATTTGCCAACTCTGTATTCCTCTCTATATATCTTTAGAGAATAAGCTTGTTCATTAAATAAAAAAATGAAGAAATAATACACTTTCTCTGAACTTTGAAAGTCTGTTTAAAATATTCTGTATGCCAGGTGTGATGACATGAGCTTGTAGTTTCAGCTACTTAGGAGGCTGAGATAGGAGCGTTGCTTGAGCCTCAGGGTTCAAGACCGGCCTGGGCAAGAAAGTGAGACCCCTACCTCAAAAAAATTAAACAAAACAAAAAAAAACCCCAAACTTGATAGGCTTAATGTGTTTCTTATATTAGCAAATTACTTGTCTTTGTAATATATGTCAGTATTGTATTATCAATTGATTGCTTTGTTTTTTTAATCAGAAAAAGGTTCTTTGTGCAGTGGATATTTCTGTAGTTGCTTTTTTGAGACTTAATTTTTAATTTCCCTTTTAGAATAAACAATTATCTTAACTCTGTCTTTAAAAAACAGTCTTGTCTAATGTAATCATTACTTTTGTATTCATCAGTAAAATAGCGCTAAATGGAATTAGGATGCTTTATGCCATGATATTTGCCTTCCTCATGGGCTTACTATAAGAATTATGAAAAATAACAAAGCATCTAGCTGAATAAATACCTGCGATGTCATAGATTCATGATAAATATATGTCTGGTCTCATGTTAAATATAGAAAGATAATTTGGCAGAACACGCTTCTTTTTAAAAATCTAATTTCTCACAGGTGCTGCTTACAGCTGATAACAGATAAGCCTGCTGCCATACAAGAGGAACTAGACCTTATCCGGGCCCTTGGATGTCTTGAAGAATTTGGGGTAAAGATTCTGCCTTTGCAAGGTGAGTTTTTTTGCTTAATATTGCATTGTTAGTAACTTGTTTTGTGCCAATTTATTAGTGTCTCTTTTTAGTTTTTGAAACCACAAGTATCTTTGGCCATTTAGTCCATTAGCAGTAGATTCTACATATTCTCTTATTTTTCCAGTGAAATATCAGTGGAAACCCAAATAAAAAAATAAATTCAACATTTAACCATAAATTTATTTTTTAAATTCACATTTGCGGACTTTTAAAAAAATATTAGTAATAGAGCAGTAAGGCTACCTATAAAAATAAAAGTAGAATTTGGGAATTATAGATGAATATTTCAGATTTACATTAGTTTTTAGTATATAGCTTATTCTGAATTTTGTTTCATTTCATAGATTTGATTATTTCTTTTTGTACTTGATGTAGAAAATTGTTTAAGTGAATTCTAAGTTTTGTGTAGAGTTTAGTTAATTAGCATTATTTTTTTCATAAAGCTGAAGTTCTGGTGCCTAAATGTAAAAGGCCTTAAGGTTCCACTCAAAGAGCTTCCTCACAGACATGTGTCTCTTCTACTTTATGCTATGAGCACAGTGCCCAGCTCACGATGACCTGGACCTTAGCTGACCTAAGCTGATAAGTGGAAGGTAGATTTTCAGTTGCTTCAAGCCCTAGATCCCAATGCCTTAAATGAAGAGGGTGTTTGGCTCTTAGGGGTGTGCTTGGCTGGCTTCCCTGGCTGGCCATGTGTTCTCTTTTTTTAAAAAAAAAAATTATTCTAATTTGTATCTATGACAGCAATTCACTTCATATTACACATATGACACAATTTTTCGAGTCACTGATTTACACAAAGTATTATCACACCATTCATACATGTACTTAGGGTGGTGATGTCTAACTCACTCCATCATTCCTACCCTCTTGCCCCTTCCCTTCCCCTCCCTGTCCTTTGCCCTGTCTAAAGTTCCTCCATTCCTCCCATGCTCACTCGCCTATTCCCATTACCAGTGAACATCTTCATATCAAAGAAAACATTTGTCCTTTGGTTTTTGGGGACTGGCTTACTTCACTTAACATTGTATTCTCCATCTATTTACCTGCAAGTCCCTGTTTTTAATTCTGAAAATCGTTGGAATTTGGGACTGGGAGGAGGTGTATAGTGGAGTTCCCTCCATCTGTGTGTTGGTATGTTTACACAATAGATGTCACCTTTGGATAATAAGGCCTTGTTGTAAGTTCCTTGGTGTCTTTTGTCTTCTACAGTATTAGGTTGACTGGACCTCAAGGGATCTGAATCTCGAGCAATCTTATATTTTCATATGGGCCTAAATTTCTGCTTCTCAGACAATAGACTTCAAAGAATATTATTGTTACTTTTAGTATCTTTGGAAGAGTATTTGTATATAACTATAAATATCCTGTAGCATCTTAAGTATATGTAAGCTGATTATTAAATCAGTAGAAAATTATATTCAATTGTAGCATCAAATCAGTTTTGAAGCTCAAAATCTTTTAAAATTGTGAAGATTAATCAGTTACTGAAACAGCATTTTCTGTTTATTCTAAAATGTCTTAAATCATTAACTCCTTCCCCCTTAAACATTTAATTTCAGTTTTCAGTTAGGGAAGAGTTTGGAGCACAATGAAACTTTTACTCTGCCTTTATCCCTCGTGAGGTTATACTGTAGCATCGCTCTGTGCTTGTGCACATGGTACTTCAGTAATTAAACAGGATATAGAGAAACTTTTTATTGTTCCTCATATGCTATTGAACTTTAAAATGTTGAGCCCTGATTTTCTGTGGGTAATCCAATAGCAATACTTTGGCTTGTAATATTTATTAGCTTTATTCGCTACTGAGTTTAAATATTTACAACCAAACCCACTAATCTGTAGCTTCTGAAAAATTTCAAATCAATTTGAAAAATTTAAATTTAAAATTTTCTATTAGAACGTTTGTCAGAAAAGCCCATGAATCCCATAAGATGGAGACTATTGGTACTAGCTAAATTATAATTAAAAAAACAGTGAAATAGCATGTAACAGTAGTTCCATATGTTTGAGTCCAAGAAGTATTTGCATGTGTACATGCATGTATGTTCTTTTCCCTGTAATTTGGGTGTTTTGATTTTTGTATTTGTTTTGAGTGTATTTGTTTTTTACTATTCAAGTGAGTGGTACTTGGATATTTTAGTTGTTCCCTGAGTTACTTCTGTCACAAGGGAAGTCAGTGTTTGACTCACAGCATTGTGATTCTGCTTAGCTGGTTCTGCCATTTTTTTGGTAACTGTGGGCAAGTATCTTTATCTTAGTGTTTCTCCCCCCCCCCCATTATTTGCCAAAGGGAGATACTGATAAGTACTGCAAGAATTATTTAAAAGGAGTAAGTGGGGGCTGGGGTTGTGGCTCAATAGTAGAGCGCTCACCTAGCACGGGCGAGGCCCTGGGTTCAATCCTCAGCACCACATAAAAATAAATAACTACAACTAAAAAATTAAAAATAAAAAAAGGAGTAAGTGGATACATTTCTAGGCCTAGGATGTGGTAAGGCTGTACAAAATATCAGTTATCATTTTCATTATTTTGCTTTAAGGCATTTTATAAATGATCATAGAATTAGTGTGGTCTTACCCGCCTTCTTATTCTCCCTCCCATCTTTCTATTCATTCAGTTTGCCTTCCTGCCTTTGATTCTTCTCCTACCTCCAGCACTCAATTCCCTTTTCCTTCTTATTCCTTCTATTTTGTAAACATTAATTTATTAATGGCACATTGAAAATAAGAGTCACATCAGTGTCACATGAGTTTAAATCTGGTTCAGCTGCTTTGATAAGGCCTGTGGCAACAATGTCTGTGAGCTTCACCTTTCTTGGATGAGTGTAAAAATAGAACATTACCTACATAGTCCTAAAAGGTATATTCTAAAACACGGAGGAACCTTCCATTAGTGGATTCCACAATCCATAAGCGTTTCTGTCAATGTTGGTAGTGATAACAGCAACAATTTATATTTATTGAGTGACTTTTATGTTCCAAGTACACTTACATATATCCAGTAAGTCTCAAAAAATACCCTATAAGATAGTGATGATTACTTTTCCAGTTTTCAAATGATAAAAGTCAAGGCACAGAAAGATTAAGTAACTTGGATAGGATCCAAGAAATAGAGCTAGAATTCAAATCCAGGTGGTATGGCTCAAGTACCTGCTTTTGCAAACAGTAGACACAATTTTATTGGTGAAGAGATGCAAAAGTAAAAGTTGCTTTGGGAAAGGGACGGACTTGTCGTCTTTCTCATTGAATCCTGCATGTTTGTACCTTTCTGGCTGATAACAATTCAAATTTGAGCTCTAGCAATGTCACAAGTAAGTATGTGTGTGTTGGCGTTTTCATATCATTCATGAGTGAATAATGGACATTTATTGTCCATTCCTCAAAGTGATGTGACTGCCAGGTAGGTAGCTGGTCAGTAAAATGCTTTTTACATTTGAGTCCTGTGTATGTATGCTTACAGTAGTTTAAAAAAAAAATATATATATATGTATGTGTAATATATATATATATCTGTATATGTGTGTGTAGCTGTGTGTGTGTAGCTGTCTGTGTATATAATCTGTGTGTGTAGCTGTGTGTGTGTGTGGCTGTGTGTGTGTAGCTGTCTGTGTATATAATCTGTGTGTGGCTGTGTGTGTGTGTGTGGCTGTGTGTGTGTCTGTATATAATCTGTAGCTGTGTGTGTGTGTGTCTGTATATAATCTGTGTGTGTATAATCTGTGTATAGCTGTGTGTGTGTCTGTATATAATCTGTGTGTGTATAATCTGTATAGCTCTGTGTGTGTGTATAATCTGTGTATAGCTCTGTGTGTGTATAATCTGTGTGTATAGCTGTGTGTGTATATATAATCTGTATATCTGGGTGTGTGTGTATAGCTGTGTGTGTATCTGCGTGTGTGTGAATATATATATCTGTGTGTATCTCTGTGTGTGTGTGTATATATATCTACGTGTGTGTATCTGTATCTGTGTGTGTGGGTATGTATTTGTGTCTGTCGGTGTATGTGTGAGTGTATATATATCTGTGTGTATATGTGTATGTGTGTCTATATGTGTGTGTATCTGTGTGTGTGTATATCTGTGTGTGTATATCTCTGTGTATATATATATCTGTATTTGGGTGTCTGTGTGGGTGTGGGTATCTGTGGGTGTGAATGGGTATCTATGTGTCTCTGTGTTGTCTCTGTGTGTCTCTGTTGTGTCTGTGTGTGGGTGGGTATCTGTGTCTCTGTTTTGTGTCTGTGGGTGGGTGGGTATCTGTGGGGGGGTATCTGTGGGTATCTGTGTAGGTGGGTGTATGTGTATCTGTGTGTGTGTATCTCTGGGTGTGGGGGTGTGGGTGGGGGTGTGTGTGTGTTGGGGGTGTGTATCTGTGTGTGGCCGTCTGTGGGTGTATATATATGTGTGTACATGTACGTGTGTGTACGTGTATGTGTATCTGTGTATCTGTGTGTATATATCTCTGTGTATATATCTCTGTATATATCTGTGTATATATGTATAGGTATTTTTTGAGATATATTTGTGAGATCCACAGGAAAAGCTTATATGAATATATTCTTGTCAGTATGTTGGCTTCATTTTGGAAATTACAAATGGAATCAAACACCCCTTCTTGGACAGATGATAATATCTAAGGCTTGTACTTAGTTAACTGAGAAATAGCATTTGAAATATAATCACATTCGAAGGTCAGCGTTAATTGTAGTGTAGTTATTGCCCAGAGATTCAGAAAATGGATAAATAATGAAAAATGTGATTTGAGCATGGTAATTGCAGTCTATTAGAATCCTGATCTCCAAATTTATTTCATATGTTTGAAATAATAGTAGAATGCATTGCTTAGGGTAACAAGGAGACAACAGAACTTGACCCTTCATCAAAGGGAAGGTTCAAGGAAATGATTTTTTTTTTTTTATTGTTTGCAACTTCAGTTTTCCACTTTGCTTTTAATTGCTAGGGAGAGGCTGGTCATAGTATCAAAGGGGCCTACTAAAGTTAAAGCTAGAGCTTCTCTAAGAACACACGAATGTGTCAACAAGTCCATAGATGCAGCCATGAAGCCCCCCAAGTTTTACACATAGAATGTCAATGTCTGTAGTGAGTGTTTTGAAAAGCAAATGGAAACATGTAAAAAGTTATGTTACTAATCTAGGAAAAAAAAACCTGTTAAAATAGTAGTGGGTAATTAGGACAAGAACTCACATTTTTTATACTTAAATTATATAAAAGTTTAGCACAGTCTAGCCAAAAAAAAAAAAAAAAAAAAAATGTTACAGTAAAAACTCAACATGTGCTAACAGGCTTGGTTCCTGCCCACAGTCCTGCCTACTGTGGCATTTCTGTGGTAGAGGGACAAGGTCAGAAGTGGAATTCCATGATGATCTGTATAGCTTTTGCTCAAAAGTGGCGTAGCTCACTTCCACTGAGGTTCATTTTCTGAATAAGTCACAGGTCAAGTCTAATGTTAGGAGTTTGGGATGTAGAATAATTGCAGTGGATAGTTAGGAATAATAATCGACCAAAGCTATATTCAGATAGGCACATAGATACTGACCACTAGGACTGCAAAAGAAGTTAACTGAAATTTACACTTACCTTATGTTTTACAATGGTCACAACAAGCTTATTACACCAGCATGGTGTGCGCACGCACGCGCACACACACACACACACAGATACATTCATCTTTTTTCTTGTTTTTTGTTTTGGGCAGTACTCGGGAACAAATCCAAGTCTCATACATGGTAGGCAAGCACTCTGTCACTGACTTATATCCCTAGCCTTTATATACATACATGTATATGTATTTATACATATTTATGTGTATATGTATTTATACATACTTATATGTGTATATGTATTCATACATATAAGTGTATATATTTACATATGTATGTATTGAGGTGAGAGTTTTGCTCAAGTGGAGAGGCTGGCTTCAAAGTTGGTAATCTCGTGTCTCAACGTCTCGAGTGTCTGGGATTGTAGGCATGTGCCACAATACCCAGTGAAATATCTATCTTTAAAGAGCTTGAACTTGAAACACATGCCAAAGTATTTATGGATAAAAGAACATGATGTTTGCAACTTTTTTTCAAATAGTTCAGAAGAATGTAGGCTTGTGTTCATATTTGTGTGTGTGTATATATATATTTGTGTGCATGTGTGTATTTTTTTCTGGGTGGATACGGCAGGGGAAGGGAGGGAGTACATGTATGATTGTGTATATGTGTATGTGAACAGAGCAAGTTATTATAATTGGTTGATCCTGGCATAGCGTGTAGAGGAGTTCTTTGTACCATACTTGCAATTTTTCTGTAAGTTCAAAATTAAGTTATAATCAAAATATACAAAATAAAAGGCCCATTTCAAAGAAAAAAAAACACTACTTTTTTAAAAAAATCTAACCAAGCTTTATGTGTCCTCCCACCCACTTGGAAGAACTTTTAAGAAATCGGGATACATAGGGAATAGCCATGAGTTTAGGAATGGATAACGATTGTAGTGTGGACAACATTTATGGAGTTGGGTTGACTTTATTCATATCCCATCACTTTTTTGGTGAGTTTCACGAAAGCACTTAACCTTTTGGCACCTCATTTTTTTCCATTGAGATAAATAATGGTAACGATTGTACGGTTCTGCTAGGTAGGGTTAATATGCACAAAGCACCTACAGCAGTGCCAGGGGCATAGTTCTTACCTATTTCTTTTAGATGGTGTTACATTTGTTACAGCTATTGGGGGTTGACCTCCTAGGCAGTGTGGGGCTCCTTAAAGGTTGACATCTGTACTCTAAGCATTGTATATTTCTAGAGCACACTTTGTTCTCTTTAACACCAAAGTTTTTTTCTTTGTGTTCATTTCTTTATGGTATGAATTGGTTGGATCAGATGTGTTTCATTTTCCTATTGTCTGTTAAGTGAGAGGATTTGGCTTAACCGTAGAATAGTATGTCCATTGAGGACTCCTGCCTTCTATACCAATGTGATGTGAACTTAAAAAATGGATATTTGGAATCTGGAATGGGTGTTGGGGAATTTAGGTCAAGGTGAAGGGACTGGTATGATAGGAAGGATGAGAGGTATTCAGAGACAAATACTGCCTATTTAAAAGTTCTACGTCCTGACATGATTCTTGAAAAGATGACATGATTTTCTGTCTTCAGAATGACGGGTCAGGGCCATGTTTTAGAAGTTTGGCTATAAGGAAAATATCCATGTTGTACATTAGTCATTTGGAACAATAATAATATTGTTTTATTAATACGTATTTTACTTAATTTTTGCTGATCTGGAGACTAGCAGTATTCATTTTGTTTGATTGCCTTTTATTAGGAATGTGATGACACCCTTTTGTGATGTCCCTAGTTGCAAGTCTTTAATACGTATTTCTCTTGTAGTGCGATTGTGCTCAGATAGGATCAGCCTCATCAAGGAATGTATTTCCCAGTCTCCCATGTGCTACAAACAATCTGCCAAGGTTCTAGGCCTTGCTGAGTTGCTGAGGATTGCAGGTAAGTCTTTTGAATGTTAAATTCTAGAATAGGTTTCTGTGTCACACTTGACATCATCTTAGGTAAACATCAGGATACATTATTTTAGGTTTGAGTTTATCTTTTGAGTAAGGATTAGTGTTTCCTAGAAAGATTGGCATACTATAGAGATGTGTATCTGCACTGAACTGCTAAAACCATCATCTGTCCTTTAAATGAAGAAAGGCTTATTCACAGTGCCACCGAGTGAGAGCTGGGACAGAAGTCAGTATTACCATTTATATCCAGAACACATAAACATAGAGCCAGCCAGCCTTCATTAGTTCACTTCAGTGTCCAACCATAGTTTTATTGTATCTGAAAAATTGGTCAGAAACTTGGATTTACTATTTGTTAGTGTTCACAGTCTGGTCATGAAAATCTTATTCCTGGGTTTTTCATTTTTTCTTCAGTGTATTCTGAATAAATACAAACATTTCAAGAGTGTTACATAGAGAATAGTTTTTTATTAAGTGTCATGTATTTATTACAGGAAAACTTAGATATTGTTCCACTTTCAGGATTATGTTAGTGTTACTAAAACACGATCGTGTTGCTTTACTATTAATAATCTTATGACTTACTGCTACACCATTTCTTTTTTTAAAATAATCTTTTTAGACCAGGTTGGGTCTTACATTCTTTAAAAAAAAAAAAAAAAAAATCAGTGAAGCAGAGAGGTTTTCAAGTATTTTATCTTATTTAATCTTATAAGTTTTCATAAATGATATATTTTCCCCTTTTTCAAAGGAAATTAAGGATCACAGAAGTTAAATATCTTACTGTGCAAGGTTAAACAGCAGACTGTATATATGGAGGAAAGTCATTTTGATTCTGTTTCATGTTTCCTTAAGTAGAGTGGTCTTCGTACTAGAGTCTTTTAAAACTTTTTTGTAGTTTTGACTGTTAAAGATTTCTACAGGAACAGTTGTTAGCCATTTTGTTCCGTAAAAAAAAATGGTTTGAATTTGTACTAGTCTAATCATGCAATTTAAAACTCATGAATTGCTTATTTCTGGAATTTTTCATTTAATATTTTAAGACTTTATTTGACTTCACGTAATGAAAATGTGGAAAGCAAAATTGCAAATAAGGAAGGGTTATGTTAAATAACTGAGAGCAGCTGATAGTCAAAGGGAGGGACATTAAGCTTCATATTTGGAAGGGAGCATAAAAGTATTTCAGATAGCTGGTACCTCATCATGCCATCATTAGTTTTCTTTCTTCAGACTAACTATCCAAGTTATTTAATAGATTTCTGGTTTGAACACACTCCAGGTTGTTCTTAACTAAGAACTATCTTGTTTAAAAAATATTTTTTTAAACATTCTTTCCTGGCCCATTTAGTTTCTCATATCAAAACCAGCTAACAACTTTGGACATCAAAATTGTTTGACCCATCTTCATATAAAAGTTTATATTAACAACAATAAATTCTCACTTTATGGTTTTATACTTACTATGGCCCTTAGAGTTATGAATCTCATTTTGGAAGTAAAGAAAGGCGAATAGAGAAGATAAATAATTTATTGAGGATTTTTACAGTTCAGTTTTACTTAAAACCTTTGCCCTTATTTGTTTTTCCCTTTGTTACATTTTTTAATAGTACTCACTATACCGTATTCTACCTCATTTCATTCACTTAATTTTTGCAGTTGTCTGGCTGCTCTTACAGAAATTATCAATTGCTATCACGTTTCTTGATTTGAGATCAGACAATAATGCAAGAAAGAGAAAAGTATTCAAGAGACGAGGTTATAAATAAGAGAATAAGTAGCTCACATCCCTGGCCTGTTAGTCATGGTTTAACCAGAGAAGCAGAACCTGTAGGACTTTATTATGAGGAATTGACTTTTTGTACTATGAGGATTGGCTAATCAAGTTGGAAATATGCAGTGCAGTCAGTCAGGAAGAGATCAGGAGCAGGGTGGAACTGTATGGGCATAGGCTGAAATTGTTACCCACTGGTGGAGTTTCTCTCTTCCTGGGGATCCTATGCATCTTAAAGGCCTTTTCACTGAATCCGTCACCTATCAAGATCATGAGGGCTATAGACTTTTCACTTAAAGTCAGCTGATGATGGGGGCTTTAATTATCTTAGAAGCACCTCACCACACTGAGGTTAGTGTTCATAGTCTGGCCATGAAAATCTTATTCCTGGATTTTTCACTTTTGCTTCAGTGTATTCTGAATAAACACAAACATTTCAAGAGTGTTACATAGAGAATAGTTTTATTATTATTATTAAGCGTGTTGTATTTATTACAGGAAAACTTACAGATATCGTTCCATTTCCAGGAATACGTGTGAGTGTTACTAAAACACACAATGGTGTTGCTTTACTATTAATAATACTACTCAATGCTACACCATTTTTTTTAAAAAATAATCTTTTTAGAGCAGGTTGGGTCTTATATTCTTAAAAAAAATCATTCAGGCACAAAGATTAGGACACATTCTAAAGGTATCTGTTCTCAAAGAGCTAAATTCTGTTAGAGGATGTTAATTACTAAGAGTAATCACAATAAATTGGTTTTAAGAGTGGAAAAGTAGAGTGTGGTTTGAAATGAGTCTTGTATTTTATAAGAACAAAATTGTTGAGATTCCGAAAACCACACCCCGAAGTGTGATGCCTTGGTACTGTGATTGGGGAACAGTGGGAAGCAGGATGCAGACAGGTTTTCTCTCAGGTCCTCTTATCAGATTAAAGGTGGATCAAGGAAAGATGTATCCCAGAAAGAGATGAAAGGTCAGCAATCTTCCAGACAGGCTTGGCTACTGGAGGGCTCCTGGCTGAGAGATTTCATTTGCATAATAACACAGACTTCCTTCACCATGGATTTTTCTCCCCTCAGTTTACTGTGGATTTCTTCCTGTCATTCTCACAGAATCTGTCTCCACCTCTACCAAGGAACTCCAAGCCCCTTTTTCTTCTAGTAGTTCAGGATGCTATAAAAAGTCCCATCATCTGGTCCTTCTTTGAGTCTCATACTTGTGAGTCTTGTCATTACGTACACATATAATAAGTGGCTTTTCTCCTGTTAATTTATCGTCAGTTTCTGACACTCAAATTATTGAACCTTCAGAGAGTAAAGGAAGTCTAAAATGCCCCTTGAGAAAGAGTTAGGGTAGGAAGTGAAATCCAATTTGGCTTCTAAGAAAGGTCTTGGGAAAATAATTTGAGATCTTTATATTAACATGAGCTGAATTTTCATACGTGTTCTTAGACTCTGAAAACTCACTATGGTAAGTAAAAGATTAGTACTATCTGTGAAACTAATATATTAGCTCTGCATTAGTGTAAAAATATACATACATGCAGAAGTTATGTAGTTATGTATAATTCCCAGAATAATTATTTCTAGAATAATTAAAAGTAAAGGTTTATGTTCAAATTTAAATGGGTTAAGCATTCAGAAGGAAAACATGGAAGGTTCTTTTGAAGATTTTGATACTAGTAGGAGTAGAAGTCTCTATAGCTGAATTCTTAAACTCCCTTGGAGGGTTTTTAACAGCAATTAAGAGTGTAGGGAGTCTCTGCTTTAGTCACATAACATAAACTCAGATAAGGTTACTTTCTGCCTCTTTTCTAGCTCAACTTTTTCCCCCCTCTAAAATAACTTCTATGGCAAAGCTGATTCCTTCACTTCCTAATTCTTAGACATGAGACTTATGTGAACCATCCTCTGAAATGAAATCTCGATGGATTTATTTTTGGAATAATTTGAGTACATTAGTATGTGTTGAAGACAAAAAGTATGCCATCCCAAAATATGTCTGTAGACTGCCAGAGTATGCCACCCCAGAATATCCCTTTCTGGTGAAGGGTTACTTCATTCTAACTATTTTGGGAACATAATTATTTTGTGAGACATAAGAGAAGCTCTGAAAACAGATGTTACTCTTGTAAGAGAGAGCCTCCTCTATATGGGAAATCTCCATTTGCAAGGTGTCTCCCTCTGTACTAGGGAGAGATGGAGGACCCTGAATAGAGATTCTTCTATGCAGGGAAGGCACCAACTTTCCTTCTTTGCCCTGTGTTTCCTGGGCATCTCCCCATTACTGGCTTTGCCACATCCTACTTTGTTTCAGTGGATTATAGTATCTCAGAGCCACTTGTTTGATATTTATTCACTTCTCTTGGGTATACATATTATTAAACTTGTGTGGGTTTTTCTTTTGGTAAGAAAAGTCCCTTCCAGCCAAGAATTATGAAAGAGAAAATAATTTTTCACTTTCTAGATATACAAGTAGTTTTACTAGCCTGTGGAAAACATTATTATCCTATATTAAATTTCCAAATGTAAATTTATGTTTAAAATAAAAAAAATTCATTCTTTATTAGTATTTTTTCATTGTTACCTTTTATGAGGAAAAAAGGCCAAAAAATTTATTTAAATGTAGTTAGTGTATTGGGTGTCATAGGAATTCTTTTTACACGAGTAAAGCAATAGAAGACTTTTTTTATAGTGTTTCAGAAATTTGTCATCCTTGGTCAGGAGCTATGCTAATTTTATCTGTATTACTGCAATTTTAATGTATGTGCTGCTGATGCAAGCATAGGATTTACTTTAAAATAATGATATATTTTTCATTTCCATCCTTGAAATACATACATCTCTATTATTGGAATCAGTGTGTTCTATTAAACAGTTTTTGATGCTTGTTAAGATGGAAAGGGAGACTATTTTATCTATAATGACTGGTATTGGGGACTATTGCAGTCAACTTTTGCCTGGAGGAGATAGATTGGGCTTGTTAAAAGATCAACTTTAGGCATAGTAGATTTGAATGAGCTTATCTCAGCAGACAATAAGTCATCAATAAGACAGCACTAAACCTGGAATGGTTCAGGGCTCCACCAAAAGAAAGAGCAAAAGTTTTGTGAAGTGTTTGAAGAAGCAAGACAAAAAAAAAGTGATTGGCTAAAGTGGAAAGCCCTAGTTAGAGGCTAATTGGCAGCTTCTGATGGGTTAAAGCCTTAGTACTTGATGGATTCTGATTTGATAACTTATTTTCTTTTTAAGCACTTTATACACAGATATTTATTTCTTAACATTTAAATCAAGGAATATATTCTAAATCTTCTAAAAGATGAATTCAAAGTGCAATCTTTCCAGGATCGTTTCTGTGATCACTATGCCCTTGGTTACTACTGGAGTTTACTGTTCAATGTTTAAAAAAAAAAAAAAAAAAAAAAGTCAGGTTATTTACAAACCATCCTAGATTTCTAGCTCTTCTATCACCAGTTCTATACTGATCTGCATTTTTTAAAAGTTCATATCACCAAATCAAAGCAACTTTTAGGTATGAAATAGCTGTACATTTAGCCTCAATCAATAAAGTGTTATAATGAAATTTGTAACGAATGCTGGTTTTCTTGTCGTTGTAGATTGTTGGGTAATGTGCTTTGGGAGTACCCCATGAACTTTGAGGTTGGAGTTAAAAAAAAAAAAAAAAAAATTTTCCAGTAACTGACTTTTTGGGCTGAAACAACTCTGTAATACCATAACATTCTATGTGGTCCAGTGCAACTCTCAGCCCTTCTGGTATTCCAATAACTGCCTGAGTTTCGGGGGAGATGTCTCAAACATGTCGGGCTATACATAGTTCAATAAACAATGCAGTGAATATTCATAACCATATTCTTAAACTGTATGTGATGTGTTGTTCCACCATTGCCAACAAATTCTGACCTCAAAAGAGTGGAAAATACCCAGGAAGGCATCTATTTTTCTGTTCAGTGTTGGGAAGCCCAAAAAGAAAAACCGAGGCTGATCACTAATAGCACAGTTCATTCTGTGACCAGACAATGGAGAAGTGGAATTCTCTCACCAAATCAACTTCACAGTCTGGTAGGGGTGGGGAAGTTATAGATACAAAAGAAGCTGGGGGGGGGGGGGCGGGTGGGATGTGGGGCATTGGGTGGGTAGGGCTAAGAAAAGGGGGAATATTCATATCTTCTCTCAGGCATTCATGCATAGCTTTTTTGCTCTTTTTTCAGTTCTTTCTGGCCATCTTCATTGCTATCTGTGCTAAGGGGTATGTCATTTAGCATGTAGATGGGATTAAAGTGAAATTTCTGGTCTAGTAGGAGTAATTAGGTGGCTACTTTGATTATCATGAAGTTTGATTATTATGAAGAACTTCTAACCTTAGGTGCCCTGTTCTCAAAGATAAGTTGGGGTGAGGGAGAAGCAAGCCAGGCTCATGGATATTGTTCCATCTGTCTGTGTACAAGATCCCTGTGCTTTAAAGCATTTTCAAATAATAGTGTTACATCATAAATTTAGTCTTTTTCCATTTCATCAATATTTTAAAACAATGATTTTTTAATATTTTTTAGTTGAAGATGGACACAATATCTTTCTTTTACTTATTTTTATGTGGTGCTGAGGATACAACCCATGGCCTTGCACATGCTAGGTTCCACCACTAAGCCACAATCCCAGCACCACAAGAAGTGGTTTTAATATTCTTTTGAGCATTCAGTTCAGGAATTCTGTATTTAAGGGAGTCCTATGAGCGTAAACACAGAGACAATAGCCATTGCTAAAGTGGTAGAAACCTTGTTCTGCCTTTCCTGAGCTCTGAAGCTGTTATGCAGCAAAGCTTGGCATAGTGGTGTGTGCATATAATCTGAGCAACTCAGGAAGCTAGGAGAGGATTGCAAGTTTAAGTTCAGCTCTAGCAAATCAGGACCTATCTCAAAAAGGGCTAGGAATATAGCTCAGTGGTAGAGCATCCAGAGGTTCAATTGCCAGTACTGCAAAAAATAATAAAAATAAAAGTGTAGCCAATACCTTATCAGGGCAATGGCTTTTGCAATGTAACTAAATGTGTTGTCTGTTACTCTACAAAGTTTTATTGTTTCCATTGAGCTGGATTTCTTAATATCAAACCCAACTCCAAATACAACAGGGGAAAGTTGGGGAGCGAGGGATGAAAATTTACTAAAAGGAATCCTCCGTGGTAAGAAGGGATTCTGGATAAGCAGACGTAACGGGATCAGTATTCTTGCTGAAGACCAGGCTCATCAGATGCCATCTAAGAGAATGAGGAATTTGATCAGATATCAAGATGAGGTATCCAGAGTGAGATTCTGGCTAAACTGATTTAGCAGGTATTATGATTTAAATCTAGACTGTCGCCCCAAAGCTCCTGTGTTAGGAATTGAAGCAGTGTTCAGAGGTGAAATGATTGCCTTGAGAGGGCTGTATCCTCGTCAGTGGATTAATCCATTTGATGGATCAAAAATATGAATGGACTACTGGGTGGTAAATGTAGGCATGTGGGGTGTGGCTGGAGGAGGTGGGTCAACGGGGGTAAGTCTTTGGGGACTATATCTGTCCCTGACCCTTACCTTGTTCCCGCTCTGCTTCTGATCTGCCATGAGCCGAGCAGCTTTTCTTTACCAGGTCCTTCCTCCATGTTGTTTCTGTAATGGAGTTGGCTGACCATGGACTGAAACCTCTCAAACCTGAGCCAAATTTTTAAATTTTTTCTTCCTCTAAATTGTTTTGTTATGTATTTTGGTCACAATGTCAAAATTCAGCAGGATTTTTACTAACTACAGTATGAAGGACAGGTATGGGGTGGGGCTTAGCAGGACTCACAGGAGCCCACAGTTTTTCAAGGAAACGGTCATTGTCAGTACTCTGGACTACACTTACTTTCAAATTTCTAAATATTACTTGAATTTTCAAGATGAGAAATATTATTAGTTTATTACCTTCATTTACTTAATCTACTATTCACTCTTTCTTGAACCCTTTTATAACCTGTTTTCTTTTGAAGCATGGATTTCTTCTCTTTCCTTTACCTGAGTAATACTAAGATTTCTCTGTAGGGCTAAAGACCACTCTGATTTTGGACTTTTTGGTGTGAATATTTTAAATAGAAACTGATATTAATCATTGATCTCTTCAGAGACCGAGGGCTAATTAATTCCATGCACAATAAATAGATCAAAAGGTCAATTTGCTATAAACTTTTATCTTTTAAAATCAGTCTGATTTATGTTTTATTTTTAATTAATTTGAGTGTTAATGAGCTCCTTTATCATTTGAGGCTGTCATAATCATTAAGTGTTTTGTATGTGCCTGTAGGTGAAGACGCAGAAGAAAGGCGTGGACAGGTTCTAATTCTTTTAGTAGAGCAAGCCCTTCATTTCCATGACTACAAAGCAGCCAATATGCATTGTCAGGAGCTGATGGCTGCAGGTGAGTAGACAACTTACTTAACACTTTGCTCATGTTCGATTTATGTAATGAATAATGGAAAAAGGTCTAGTTTGAAATCAATTGGCCTGATTGGTAAGCCAGGCACATTTTTGCTTGAGATACATTTTATTAGCATTGACAAGTGTGTATGCTGTGTGTTTATATATTGATATTTTAATGGGCTTAGATGCTATATTTGAGATTTTGATTGCTTTTAATTCATATTAAAAATATGCTCGTCATTTTAAGAACAATTTTTTGTAAAACATTTTAGTCCTATCTTACGTCTTAAATAAAAGAATATCCACAGTTTGTGAATAGATAGTAAATATTTCTGTTCTTGAATTTGAAGGAAAACTGTTTTCAACCTAATTTTAAAAAACTGGGAAGCAGTTTGCAATCTTAGGATTTTCCATGTTGAAATTCAGATTCCTGTTTCTGGAAAGTAGGCAGATGTGTGGAAAAAGTTCTCATCTGAAGAACAGGTTCCCCAGTGGAAGGGGAAGTGATGACATCTCATCATGGGCTCTGTGCTAAACACTCTGTGCCTATGCCTGAGCACTGTACATATCTGTCCTTAAGAGTGAGTGGCTAGGGGACTCACAAATAATGGTGTTACATCATAAATTTAGTCTTGGACTAAACTCTTGGAAAAACTCAATACTACTGTAACTCTCAAACCCTAACTCCACCTGACTCTGGTTTATAAATTACATTTTGGGTATTCTAGGTCCCTGGCATCTAATTGCAGCCTCATAAACTATATATATAACTATCTCACAGAAAGCATAGAGATTAATAAGAGCTTCTCCTTTACTGTCTGAAAGTTTGCTATCAATTGTCTCTTTTTCAGATTAAAAGTCACTGATTTTAATTGTAATATTATTAAAGATATGAAACTTTCAAAAAAGAGTGGCTAAAACCCAGTGCATCACTTCATGATAACTCTGGAGCTGTGCAGAGTTGTGCACTCTGGTTGCAGTCATCCAGAGCTCAGGATGGAGCCCAGGGCATCAGGCGTGCTAGGCAGGCACTGATCGTACACTTTTTGCATGTCTACTGTTAATGAAATAACTATTCTGACACCTGCTATAATGGTAAGGAAGCCCTATTCAGGACTGATACTGCATTTGCTCGCAAAGTTTCAGTACAGAAGAGACAGAACTATCTTTAGATACAACAAAGATAGGTGGACATTCCACCAGTGAGAAAATTGAGAGGTCAGGGGATGGAAGGCTACTAAGAAGAGACATCATAAGTGGAGGGATTTTTGCTAAACCAAAACTTCAATAAGATCCTTTCTGAAGGCGTCAAGGGAAAGCAATGAAAAATTTGATTAGATATGGAAGATGTAGGGATTCTGGTTTCTCTGACTTAGGAGGATTCTTTCTATAACTGAAATGCATAGGCCTAGCAACGGCTAACGTTGAGGTCTACGAGCAAAGGGCTCAGAGGAGCCCGACTAAAAATTGGACCAGGAGAGAATCTTTGCATTTCATCTATGAAAATGTTTAAAAACTCTTGGAAAAACTCAATACTACTGTAACTCACAAACCTCAACATTAGAAAATGGATTTCATAGCTTGGGGTTGTGGCTCAGTGGTAGAGTGCTTACCTCGCATGTGTGAGACTCTGGGTTCGATTCTCAGCACCACATAAGCAAATAAATAAAGGTACATCAATAACTAAAAAGAAAATGGATTTCATTTTAAAAAGTCTTCTATAATAACCACTGGTTTTGCCAACATGAAGTTCAAAATGATTCTGATTTCCTCTACAGACATTGTTTTAATCCAAAATTAGAGGGTTTGGTAAGAATTCTGTCTTTTAAGGGTGGCTTAATTTTTACATTATGTATTTTGTATTTACAGAAATTAATCTGTACTGATACCTTTGTTCTTAGAAAAAAGACTCAAACTGAAACTCCTTCGAATAAAAATGAAGTATATTTTTAGAAGTCACAATGTAGCATTATATATGAAAATGATGTCCTCTGGGAGACAGGGGCGCTGAGTCTCTTTCTGGTGCTGTCTTTGGATGTCTGTCTTCTGTAGAGTGAATGATCTATGTGGGTGTCTCTTTTATCTAGTCTCTGTAGTCTCTGATGTGATTTTAAATTTTTTTAAAAAATATTACTTAATCCTTTCAACAACCAGAGAAGAAGGCATTGCTGTTGTCCCTTTGTAGTTGTAGACGAAGTGTCATTCCTGAGCTTTCCCAGGTAGCTGGGTAGAGTTTTACCCTGTCTTCTGAATCGGATACCTACCTTTTTATTGAACATCAAAGCACAGTAGCCTATTTGTATTCATTTTGAGTTAACGTAAAATTGGAGTTCATCACGAGCATTAGTATGGAATAACACGGAACTTTCTGGATAATAGTCAGTATGATCTTTCTTTTCCAACTTAGATTCTTAAGCATTTCTGCATAATGATTACTAACAACTACCATTTTGCTTTCATACCACAAGACTTGAACAGGAATCCATTATATTCTTCATCAAAGTTTGAATTTGTTTTGTTTCTTCTGGAAAAATGTTTTTCTTGTCAATTTTGCAGGCTATGCTAAGAGTTGGGATGTTTGTAGCCAGTTGGGACAATCGGAAGGTTACCAGGACTTGGCCACCCGGCAGGAGCTCATAGCTTTTGCTTTGACGCATTGCCCTCCTAGCAGCATTGAGCTGCTTTTGGCAGCTAGCAGCTCTCTACAGGCAGAAGTAAGTGTTCCAGATAAAATAAGTCCTGACCTGCTTGAAGTACATTATTTTGAGGGTGTGGGTTTCAGATGTGTAATCATTTTTTCAGAAATATGAGAATTTTTAATTGGTAGAAGACAAATAGATTATCATGTATAGGAAGAAGGATTTGAAATAGGATATAAAACAGTTTTGGCACTTTTATTATAGTAAGGAAGAAGGGTACACAATGGACTTGAGAAAAATTGAAAGTAATATCAGGAAATAAATTATTAAATATAATGGGGAAAGTTAGTGTTAAAAATAAAATGCTTGGGAAACCGCCATGTGAAGTACATCTGAAGCCATGTGAGTAAAGCATGTGGTGGCACCAGTCCCTTAGGAATCCTCTGGAATTTGGGGTGGGAGCGAGCTTTGGATGGACAACTTTGTTTCTTAGTATTCATAGGCTGCATCTTGTGAGGAGACTGGACTTCACATTTTCATCTCATTTATTGCATTGTATGCCAGATTTTGCACGGTTGATTCCCTCTCCTGAAACTTGCTTCCTTGTGAAGCTGTTCACCAAGTGAGCCTATTACTGATTCATTATGAAATAGCCCTTTCTTCATAGTGAAGAGAGGCAAGTTTAAAAACACAACTCTTTTATAACAGACTGTTCTTGTTTCAGATTCTTTATCAAAGAGTGAATTTCCAGATCTATCCTGAAGGAGGAGAAAATATCATCGCCTCACCATTGATTAGTAAAGCACTACATGAGGTAAGCCAAGCTGGGAGGGAGGAAAGAGTGGAGTCAAGTGAGGTCAGATGTATAACCTCAGGAATGGGGGGTTTTGTGTCTTTGTGTGGTGACCACTTTTCAACTTGTGTGAGAAACGTTCATATAGAAAACTATGCAAAACAAAAATGTCCTGCTCAACAAATTATCACAAAGAATAAACCCATGAGACCCCCTGCATAGTGAAGAAATAGTTCTGACTGGCCTGCCGCAGTACAACCATAGTCTCTCCCAGCTTCCTTCTAGCCCAGAGGGCACCGCTGTCCAGACTAAGCCAGATAAGCAAGTCTTTTTTTTTTTTTTTAAATAAGATTTAAGACCTACCCAGTACATAAACCCTAATAGTTTAATTTTTTTCTGTTTTTGTACTTTATGGATAGTTAAACCCAACATGAGATTCATTCAAGCTGTGTGTGTCTGTATATATAAAAACTATTTTTTGATGTATAGACATTAATTGCTGCATGTGTATATTATGGTTTATGCATTGTAATGTTAATTTATATTGGCTTGTTTTCAACTTTGGCTATTAGAAATGCCTCTAGTGCCCATGGCCATACATTTCTCTTGGGCATATACCTAGCGCTGGAAGTGCACATTGTTTTTTACACACACCCCCAAATAATTTAGTTTTTCAAAGAGGTTTTTATTAGCTAACAGCACATTCAGCAGCAGTGTATAGGATTGCCAGTTATGCCCATCCTAGTACCTTAGTATTGTTTGTCTTAGAAATTTTATCTATTCTCCTACGTATTTAGTGATAACTAGTTTTGATTTGAATTCTTATTTTTCTGGTCTAATACGACGGAGTTATCTCTGGAGAGATCTTTTTTGAGGTGCCTGTTCAGTTCTCTTTAGATTTTTATTCTTTACCTTTTTCTAATTGAGATTCTTATTTTTAAAGATCAAAAGGGTTTATTTTTATTTTTTTAAATATTTAATTTTTAGTTTTAGGTGGACACAATCTTTATTTTATTTTTATGTGGTGCTGAGGATCAAACCCAGTGCCTCACTTAGTACTAGCCAAGCACTCTACCACTTGAGCCACAACCCCAGCTCTCAAAAGAGTTACATCAATGTAAAATTGTTCTGCATAACATTTATCTTCTGGTCTTATATCTGATATTAATATACCCATACGCACTTTAAAGCACACTTACCCATTTTTTCTTGTATTCATTTTTTTAACCTGCAAATGCCATAATTTTATTCTCCTTTAATGCTGAGCAATATTCCATTGTGTATATATACCAGTTTCTATTCTTTTTTAAAATTTACTTGTTCTGTTATATATGACAGCAGAATGCATTTCAATTCATAGTACATATATAGAGCACAATTTTTCATGTCTGTGGTTGTACAAAAAATAGATCATACCATTTGTGTCTTAATATATGGAATTGGGGGTACTGATGTCCATCTCATTCCACTATCTTTCCTATCTCCCCTCCCTTCCCCTCACTTTCCTTTTTATTGAGATTCTTGTGAATAACATTTATATGAACCAATTAAACATTTATAAATCTCCTGGGAGAAAAAGGAAGGCAAGTATATCCCCTGACACCTGTTTTCTGTTGATCAACATCTGCTCCATGGGATTTCAATTTTCATGACTATTTCTAGCAACATGTAACTGGTGTTTTTTAGATTAAAGGTATTTTAGTTTCTGACTTTGCAGCTGGATAAATTAGGAGGTGATGATCCTTGTTGTACATTTTTTCTAACAAGATTCCATCAAATGGTAGTCTTCATTTCCATAGTATAAGATGTCAACCGTTTCTCCAGGAGCTGTGTTGGAAGGTATGCATTGTGATAAGTGTGGTGCACCTAACTTTTTTTTTTATAAATTCAAAACAGCTATAGGCTTAGGCCATGTTCAAATTTAAACATTAGTCCAATCATAACTCAGATCTCAGAAGTATGTGATGTGACTTTTTGCCCACATGGAGATTGTGGTCCTCTTTCCTGCAGTGGTGACTCTAGGACAGCACTGACCAGTAGAAGTTTCTTCAGTAAAGGAATGTTCTCTTCCTGCATGCCCAGTGTGCCAGCTACTAGTCACATGTAGCTGTTGAGCACTTTAAATATGACTAGTATCTTTAAGGAATCAAAATCTAAATTTTATTTAATTTAAATTTGACCCCCCCCCTTTGGTGCTGGGGGTCAAACACAGTTTCGTGTATGCAAGGCAGGTACTCTGCCACTGAGCTATGCCCCCAACCCAGTTTATATTTAAGCAGCCACATGAGGTTGTTGGCTACTGTGTTGGTCATCACAACTCTGGAGGAGCTCACCTTCAGTAGAGGATTGGTTTGGTCACCTTCACTGCAGACAGTGGGGTTTTGGTTGTTCTCCCTTGAAATTGAAGCTGTAGCATTTTCCGGGTGTCTGCAGTGGTGTGGGTACGTTTCATCGTTGGGTGTATTTAGACTTGTGGTTGCACTGATTAGGAATTAGTGTTTCCTTTCTGGGTATAAGAACACATTCAATTCTGTGGTGGTTTCTCCATGGGATTCAGAGGAGTTTTTATGATAGCTAGTGCTCACTGTGTTCTGTGAATTAGGTGTGAATTAAGAGGACTCTCTTTTAGGGTCCAATTGAAGACCTGTGTTTTATGAAATTATGTTTTGTTTTTGGTACCAAGGATTAAACTAACCTAGGGATGCTTAACCACTGAGCCACATCCCCAGCTTTCCCCTCGCACCTTTTAATATTTTTAGTTGTAGATGGGCACAATACCTTTATTTTATTTATTTATTTTTATGTAGTTCAAACCCATTGCCTCACACATTTGAGACAAGCACTCTAGCACTGAACTGCAACCCCAACCCCCTTTTAAATTTTTATTTAGAGATAGTCTCACTGAGTTTCTTAGGGCCTCACTGAGTTCGTGAGCCAGACCTTAAACTCCTGATCCTCCTACCTCAGCCTCTCAAGCTGCTGGGATTACAGGCAAGTACCACTGCGCCCAGCATGAAATCTTCTTAATCCAAGATCTTGCATCTTTTGAACCTCTGCCACTTCTCACTTGTCAAGGCATGTCTGGTACTCTGAATGGCTCTCTGACATCATCTTTTGTCCTGTGTTTCAGATACTCCTATGTCCCAGTCATGGCAAAGTCATCACCATTCTGAGTGGGCTCTTTCATACCTCTGGTATTATGAGTTTTCGGTCTGCCTGTACTACTGTTCTCATCTTGTGTTCTGAATCTTATCCCTTCAGCTTAAGTGATTTCTTTCTAATGTTGTCTTTGAGTCCTCTAATTGTTCCTTCCTCTATATTCCCTAAATATAGTCCCATCAGTTTGTTCATACACTTACAGGTATGGTACAAACTTGTATGGTCACTGAAAGTGTGTCATTTATCTTTGTACTCCTCCCAGAGTGTTTATTACCTAGTGAATGCCTGGTAAATGTTTGATAAAGCTCACTTGAAAACTAACCTTGTAATGATTAGTCTGTGGAAAATTAATTAGGAAGTAGAGTTTAACATAAAAAACAAAAAGACTTTGAGTTAACTCTTTTGTATGCCCTTGGTGGCTCTTGAGGTTCTGTTGTTTTGGCCACTATAAGGGATATGTCATTGCTCAGTATAGAATTGCTGAGTTTAGCTCCTTGAGCTTTTTCTGCATTCTCATTCTTCTTATAATCCGTGGAAAGCCTTTTGTGACTTTTGGCTTTCCTGTTTCCTGCCTCTACAAAGCCTGGCTCCTTGGTGGCTTCTTTGGAGTAGGCCATGCTGTGTCACCACAAGTGGGCACATACTGCTCCATTAAAACCTCATCTGTAAATGAAAGCCACCACCAGCTGTCCTCTGCATGTTCCACTTAGTGAGAAAAAGGAATTCTTCCAAAATGATTTTTTGCTGTTTATTTTTTCCTTTCTAAAAGCTTCCTTGTCTTTCTTTGTGCTCTTTTGGCAAGTTGTAATGGATCCAGATCTCGTGAAGTGCTCACTTGAATCCTCAGTGAACACATTATGGTTTTGACTCATGAAGCACATTTCAGAATGTTATAGCTACTGTTATTAGGTTAAAATACAGTGTTTAGCTGTAAGATGTGTGTGCTACACATTCACAGTACATATAGTAACCACATTAAATTGTAACTCATAAATGAGTGCTGACTTTATTTATAATCTGCATAATACTTAAGACTTTCATTACTTGAGTTGTGAAAATGATTTTTATTTATATATCCAAGCAAAATAAAGATGTAATTGTTATGCAGTAGCATTTGCATTAGTACAAGTGGATCCCACAAATTTGAAGATAATGTTTTTGTCCCTGTGAACATAGTTGTTTATGACTAGAACAAAATGCAGACTTTGTGAATAACTACAAAACCATAGGTTTCCAGTTTTTTATTAATGTTGTTTATTATGCCATTTAAATGGAACAGTGTTCCACCACTTAAGTATATTAACATTTTGTTTAGTATTAGTTATAGCATTTAGCCAATGGTGTTTTCCCAAGATAAATTTAATTAGAGTTAGAAATGGTTTTTATATAGGGTTTCCATTAAAAAAATCATTTTCATGTGGGTAAACTTATGAGCATTTTAAGTGGCTACAGAGTTATGATTGGACTAATGTTAAAATTTGAACATGGCCTAAGCCTATAGCTGTTTTGAATTTATAAAAAAATTGTTTAGAAATATTGAAATAAAAGCAAAATAGCAGTTGTGTTTCAGATCATGGCTGGCATTTTCTTTATTCATTTACCAGTTGATGGACAGTTGGGTTGTTTCCACTTCTTAGCTATTATGAATATGTTGCTATGAACATTGATGTTCAGATTTTTGTATGTAAATGTCATTTCTCATGTGCCTAAGTGAGAATTGTATGCTCTACTTGTGTTTAACATTGGAAGAAACTGCCAGTGTTTTTCCAGTGTGGCTGCACATCATTACATTCTCACCAGAAATAAGTTTAGCTTCTGGTTTCTCTGCACCTTCCCTAATTCTTGCTGTTCACTGGCATCTT